AATATTTTCAGCAAATGGAATAATGGAACCAGCTTTGACCTGAAAACGTCTCGGTGTCCGTGGACCTTAAAACCTTGAAATACTTTGCGTCACTTTTGATGTCTCTTTTTTATTCTCTCGCATTAGTAATCCACGTAAAACGTGAATGGATTCATTGTTATACATTTGTATTCGTATACAGGGTGGCTTTAACTGACTATGTCACCCACCAGAGCAAGTAGAGCGAACTGATTCGAAAAGTCCTCTACCATTTCGCAATTTTCGCAATAGTTAACAAGATATTAATTACTAAAAATAGCTGAATATTGGTCTTCAATAATTTTTTTTTCTCAAATACTATAAACTATAATATCAACTTTACAGAAAAATTGTAAGAGACAAAAATTGTTTATTTTCTTCTCATAAAGTTCTGAGAATTTTTTCAGAATTTTTTCAGAATTTTTTTAATACCGTATTTTCTCATGATAATAAAAATAAGAAAATGCAGTACTAAAAAGTTGATAAAAAATTCTGAAAAAATTCTTAGAGTTCTATGAGAAGAAAATAAACAATTTTTGTCTCTTATAGTTTTTTTGTAAAATTGATAGTATTTGAGAAAAAAATTATTGAAGACCAATATTCAGCCATTTTTAGCCTATCTTGTTAACTATTGCGAAAATTGCGAAATGATAGAGGACTTTTCAATTTAGTTCGATCCGCTCTACCTGCTCATGATGGGTGACGTGATCAGTTAAAGACACCCTGTATATATATATATATATATGTGTATATAAATCCATTAAATGATTTAAAATAAATTAGAGCTTTACACTCTCCAGCGATTGATTAATGGTACATTTGCATTTGTAAATCCATTAAATAATTTAAGTACATACTCCAATGATTAATCAACGGTACGTTTGACATTTATATCCGACTCAAATAGTAAAATAATTATTTTCTATTATGTTGTATTGGGATGCTTTCATAACACGATTTGTATCACCAAATATCAAGAAAGGTAAAATATTTTAGTGTCAACTTGTATCACTAAGGGTACGATAAACGTGATACTACAAACGTTTTGAAGCGTTTTTTAATTGGTCAGTTTGTAAAATTGTTCTTTCTTCTAATTGATCCATCAAACGCTTCAAAGCATTTGTAGCGAGACTTTGACCACAGCCTTAATAGAATAAATAAAGAAATACACTCTATAGACTCTATACTTTCTTCAGATTCGTGTTAAAAGACGTGTACAGTCTTTTTATATGGAAAGGTACTTTTAAATGTGGAATATGAAAATCATTGGCTTAACCGACTTGCATGACAGATGACAATATAAGACAATTAAATTACGTATATGCAGATAATCAGCTGGACTATCTTCTTTAAAGTCCAACGACTAGATCGGACGTCATTAGAGAAAGAGCGACCATCAACGATCGTTTAAAGCACGATCGTTTGACGATCGTTTGCGGTTGACTTCTTGGGTTTCTCTCTCGTCAGCGCATCGTACCTGTAAAACCGCGTATACCGCAAGTTTTTTCTCCTTTTTTATCTCATTATCGACCCGTCACGCTTTCCAAGAGAAAATAACAAATCGAGTTAATTTATGATTGTTTAACCGAAACTGTATTATACGTAATTTTTGTGTAGATAAGATAAAGGACTTCAATGGTTTCCTAAACTATTTTTACTATCAACATTGTCAAACTATGTTCAACATGCTTGTTATCTCGCGTTAAGTCACGAGTGACAAGTAGTGGCATTTGCGAAGTGCATAATTTTATAGCCCGTGTAACGATCATGTTTTATCGCGGAGGAAGGGTGCACTCGCGTTTGTCGTGCGATCCTGAAACTATCATAGGCGCCGCGATGCGTAAGGATTGCGCTCGCTCAAGTTTTCTTTCTGGAATTATCAGTCGAGATATTTCAAAAAATACTATTTTCTCCAGACAATATTAACATTTAATATTTAATATTACCAGTTTTTTAAATTACTCGTCGCATTTATTCATACACTTTGTTAACAATCTCTTTTTCATTAAAACTGTTCCCAAGAAAAAATGTTTCATATATAATTATACATAAATATATATAATTATATAAAATTGTATAAAATTATATAAAAAATTGACATAATTATATATATACAATATGATCATATACATAACATTTTCTCCCGGGTCGTTTTATTTGATACTCGTTCTTAAGTTCTTTAGGTGCTAGTAAACGACTGGAACATGGTTAGACTAATTTTATTAAGAGATTTTATTTTATCTACTAATATCTTATTAAGAGTTTGTAAGTTTACAAAAATTCTTATCATATCAGCAATACATTTTTTCTATGAAACGTCTTGTCGACGCTCATGAAGCGATTCTCTCTGACTTGACGAGGCGAGACTGTTGTTCTCATATGTTGTTATCACAGTATAATTAATACGAAACTAACATGGTGTCGGATAGCATGACAACCGTCGTCAGTTATTAATCCTCTGGTGCATCTGATTATTTAAGAGCATATGACGATAATCCGCAGACCCCTCAACTGATCTAAAATGCATACATGTAATTACTATGAGAATAATAAGTATATGTATAAAGACGCTCGTGTAATGTAAAATCAATAAAATATTATACAAGGTCAATGATCGAGCCTAAGATGGTTGACAAATTACAATACTTATTTAATCGAACATACAATTTAAAATCTGTATAAAAATATAAAATATAAAAGAGAGAGAGAGAGAGAGAGAGAGAGAGAGAGATCATAAAGATATAAAATTAATATGTTCGATTAAATAAGTATTGTAATTTGTCAACCATCTTAAGCTCGATCATTGATCTTGTATAATATTTCATTGTTTTTCAATAATAAGTATTTTATAAAACATATAAGTAAAAAGTATTAATAGAACGACGACTTTCAAAAGTCAGTAATTTGTGTAATTTGTGTAAAAGTCCCCTATTGCTGTATTTCCGTATTGGCGGCTCAAATGATAACAAATGAAAAGTTTCCACATAGTTGTGAAACCATTTGACATTTCCTCATTAAGTGGCGAGCGTGGGAGAAAAAGAGATAAGCAACTTCATTCGCGTATATCGTGAACGAAAGGAAGTATGTCGCTCGAGATACGCATCGATGCGAGTCCTCGTGTTGTCCTCGCGTCTCATCCGCGGTATCGGCAAAAATCTACAGATTATACACTACCGGTAAGTACCTTGATTCAACGACGGAAACCGTCACGAATCTTTGTGAATATCTGATCACCGTGCCATATTTGTTCGTCTGTATTCTAAAGGACGAATTTCTGAGGGTCAGTCTTCCTTTTCCGCGCCGCGAGCACGGCCTCCGAAAAGATTAAGGCTACGCGATAAAAAAAATATATAGACGTAAAAAATATGTAAAATATTCTATAGAATACTCCTGTAATATTAAAAAAATATTTATGATATTTTCAAAATATTATAATAACATTATTTTAATTTTTTTTTTAATAATATTCATGTAACATTCTAGGAACATTTTGCGCTTATAGGGACATAACAAATACAAATAAAATGTCCGTATGAGCGTCATTGTTAGTGTATGAATATATTATAATATAATATTTATAAGAATTTTATATTATTCATAATTCTTTACAAAAATATATATTGTTTATGCACCGCAAATGCTCGTATAAGCATTTTACTTATATTAATTTATTTTTGAAGTCACAAAACTATTTTTATTATAATTTTTCATATTATGTTATATATACACGTGTACACATGTTATATACATATGTGTACGTATTAATGATATGACATAAAAACGTTCCAAAGAAATTCAAATGCGACTTTATTCAACTCTTTCACACATCTTTTAATGTAAATAGCGTATGCGATATCGCGAAACCTTCATCTCCATCGATATTTTTCGATCGTGTGATTTTGCACACGGCATCATTGTAATTCGTAATCGAATCACAGACGGTGACAGAGTAACTCACAGGTACGCGTGAAACGAATACGCATTTGCGCGCGACATCATTGAGATATCTGGCTAATAGATAATAGCATTCTGTGAAAGGCGATAAGAACTGGTCACGTATTTACGAATATAATGTGTTACTGTTATTAACAATACATATTGTGCATACAAGTGTGTCTCCATCAGGCTTTTTACAGAATTGCTTACGTAATTAAAATAGAGTAAAAAAACGTGTATATGAAAATATTTCATTTTCTTATATTCTTTTTACTTTTTTTCATTTAAAATATTGATTATTCTTAATAATATCACAATTTTAAATATGTAAAATATATTTAATAATATTCTTAATATTTCTAAGAAATATTTTTATAAATCTGCATTTAGAAATAAAGATATCTAATTTAACAAAAAATAAAGATAGAAATATTAAGGAATATTAAGAAACCTCTTTTTATCAAATTAATCAAATTATGTAAGTTATTTTCGATAAATCTCTAATCAGGAAATAGATTCCGTTACAAGTTAGAATTTTATAATCTTCACTATAATTTGGATGTATAACTTAATGGACTTTATACCGAGTTCCATAAATAATATACTACTGCCTCAAGAATCACGTCAACCAGCACAAATCTCTTCATATAGATCTTATCAAAGAAAGCTAAGAAGTATAAAACGGGATTGATATCCGATATCGTGATTTGTTGGTGACAAATAAAAAGCTACCGAAATTATTTTGACGTACCCAAAGAGTTCAATAAAATAAAATTGACATGATGAAAGAGATGATTGACTTAAAATAATTATTAAATATAAATGACTCTACGATAATGTCACTTTTTTCCCCGAATCATCGACGGCGAGCTATACACATTATTTTATTACGTAATCACTTTCTTCCATTACGCAACGTCGTCGAAAGAAAGCGTGATCGTCGTAGTGAAGTCAAAAGTCACTTTTCTGTAAAAATGATTCTTTGTACCATTACTTTAATAATATTCAACTGTATAAAATAGAAATTTATAATGATGTTTTTGCAGATTTAAAGATAAGGCGATTTATGGCTATGGAACGAGCATTCCCCCGAATAACAATGAGGACGAGGAAAATGAGATGTCACCACGGAAGGTCATCTTCTGCGTTCATGGAAAATTGTCAGGTTGTTGTACGGTTGTGAAAAGCTCCGGCGACGAAAATACAACTACGGACTATCAACAAAATCCATGTACGTTTTCTTTGCGAGATATATATAATAATGCGATTTAAGGGGCCTTTCACCTTTGCCGGCCATAAAATTATTCTATTCTCATGAATTTTTTAATGAAAATTTTTAAGAATCTTTGATGGCATAAAAAATGTTAAATTTTTTTCAAAAAGTTATTACTTTCTCGTTTGTAAAACATTGTTGTTACAAAAACTTAATTATAATTCCTGCGCAAAAGTATTAGGAAAAACAAAAGAAAAAACCAGGAAATTATCTTAATTAGTTTTTTAATTATCATTTCTACAAGGTCAAAGACATTTAAAGAAAAATTTCGAGAAAAATGTGTTTTTTAATGCGCGTTTTAGTTTTACTTTATCCATATGGAAGTTTTTTCAGTGCACTACGTTTATTCTGTAATAAACCTTCTCCTTTTACGTCAGTTTCTTTAGTCACCGAGCAATTCTAGCTTTTTTTAAGGAAAATGTGCGAAGATCCTTCACGCGCTGCCTTTCCTTTTGGTCAGCATATATCCTTGCTATTTGATTATTTGAGAAAGTGATAATTAAAAAGTGAAATGAAAATTATCTGAAAAATAGAGATAACAATGGCAAATCATTATAAGAAAAATATCCGTCCAATTCTCTATTAGTGCGTCCTAAATTAACTGGGAAGACTAAAAAAACCTATCATATTTTATTATATTAAAATATAATTTTTGCATCGATCAAATAACTTTAATTGACATTTAACGAGTTTGACTTTTCAAGTAGCTCCTTTTTTTTTTACTAAATTAATCACTTATATTACTTTCTTGTGATTATTTTTAGTATCTCCAGAAGATCATTGTCACAGGGAGAGGAATGAAGAGATCGACAAAAAAGCCCGAAAGAAGTTGTTGATCGCCAGTGCGCTCTGCGTTATTTTTATGATAGCAGAAATCGTCGGTAATATAACAAAATGCGTTATCTATATAAACAAGAATATGCAAAAATTATTTATGGTCTCAGAGTTATCATAAATTTTCTTCTTATTTTTCTTTTTCTCTTTAGGCGGAGTATTATCGAATAGTTTGGCTATAGCAACTGATGCCGCACATTTGTTGACTGACTTTGCGTCTTTTATGATATCTCTTTTTTCCATTTGGGTCGCCAGCAGACCAGCCACTAGAAAAATGCCTTTTGGTTGGTATCGAGCGGAGGTGAGTATTTTTTTCCTCTCCCTTTGATGTGGATATTCAGATAAAATTGATTTAGCTAAACGTGGAATCTTATTGATAAATAAGTATAATTTACATTATTAATTATTTAGATGTAGAAGTTAGTGATATGAAATTAGTGAAGTTAGAATGAAGTGAGAACAGTATATACATGGAATAAATATTGCGTGAATTTTATTAAAAATAGTTTTTAATTAATTTCGAAATTATTCGTGATATATTACAAAAGAAAGACAGTTAATGCACACGTGAAAAAAATGTACGTATGCTGTATCTCAGAAATTCTTTTCCAAAGCAGTGTATTTTATAAAACAATGGAAATATTACAACACGGAAATTGATGATAGGACATTTTCATATTCGCTGTTTTAGGTTATCGGGGCATTGACTTCGGTTTTATTGATATGGGTAGTTACCGGCATTTTATTCTACCTCGCGATAGAAAGAATTGTCCATAAAGACTTCGAACTGGATGCAACGGTGATGTTGATCACGTCTGCAGTTGGTGTTGCGGTAAATCTAGTGTTAGTGGTATCATTAAAGATAATATTTATTTAATCTTCTGTACTTAACTCAATGGCGATTCATGCAATATGATACACGATTGTTCCTATAACAATGGGAAATATAATGTACTTAATGTAACATTAACCCAAGTAACACATGAAGTTTCAAAACTACGATAACGTTGTCGCAGTTTAAATAGCACCATCAGATACTGCCATAACGTCATTGTGACGTTTTGAAAATTGTAGCAACAAAACAAGACAACATTAAAAACGATGTCGGAGCCATTTGAATGCATAATTATTCTGCTATACCCTGGTGAAAATTTTTCTCAGAATTTTTCATATAATTTTTCAGAATTTCTATATAATTTTATAACTTTTTCACATTTTTTTTATACGAATCAGAACACTTCTCAGAAAATCCACATCTTTTTTCAGAATTTTTCATATATGTTAGTTATGAAATATCGTATGATTTCTATATACATAAGATTTATTGTAAGTATAATTTCTGATGAAATTTTATAAAATCTAAAAAATATAAATATATTTTTGTTAAAATTATGGGTTGAGAAATTTCAGAATATTTCAGGGTTTACTTGTACGAAAAATTCTGAGAGAAAATGTAAACTTTCTGAGTATTTTCTGAAAAATGTTCCAATTTGTATAAAAAGTCTGAAAAAAATTTTCACCAGGTAAAGAGATTGTTACATTTCGATGCTTTAAATTTGAAAGCATCGAAATGTAACAATCTCTTTACCTGGTGAAAATTTTTTTTAGACTTTTTATACATTTTAAAGTTTAAAATGTTTGCGATAACTGCAACGTTTAAACTGCATTGTTTAAATTGCAACATGTAGCAGAGCTATCGTCACAATGTCATTAGACCATTTCGACAAAGTTTTAACAACAAAAATTGGATAACATTTTTAGACTTTGAAAATGATGTTGCAGCCATTTGATTACATAACTATTTTACTGTAAAAAGATTGTCTCATATTACAGCAGAGTCAGAATAAAGACAAACAGACTAATAAAGGAGAATGTTTTTTTGTATGTAAATTAATAAAAAATCAATAAAAGTTAATTTTTAACTTTTTAATTTGTAAGAAGAGAAGTAAAAAAATTTATTTTTTGGTTTAACTGGAATTGAATCTCTGGCAATCGTTTCATTTCACTAAGATGAAATTTAAACATTAATAATTATTGCAAATTATTACAATTTATAATGTACATATACGTATACATGTAAGTATACTAGCGCGGACAAACATTTATAAATATACTGATTACCATTAATACATGACCATTGATACTTGACCATTTTGTTGCTATGATATATGTTAAATATATTGCAATATAACATTGATAATCACGTTTTGTCTTTTGTATATACAAATTACAGCCGAATTTTCTAAACTTTTGCAAGTTTCTTTTCATCTTGAAAACATTGATCTTGAAACTATTCACTTTTTAACTTTAAAAGTAGCAAAATGGCTGAGGCTAGTTTTGGCTTTTCTGATAACTATCACAGTGACTTTACAATTATCAGTACAAATAAAATAACTGTGCATTTTGACTTTCTTTAGTTGTCACAGTCACTGTACAACTATTATAATACACAGCTAAAGTAACTGTGGCTACATTTTGATCTTTTTAATAGTTGTCACAGCACTTTTGCAATTACAAAACCCATAAAATAACATTTGCTGCTAAGATATAATTAAGGCTGGTAGAATGTAATAATTACATTTTTGCTGTAGCAGCGAATTTAGTCAGACTGTGTTACTTGGGGAACATCTCGTTGCGTACTATAATCGCGAATAATATACGAATTAATTTAAATGTGCGAAATGAGAAATCTTTGAGAATTAATTGAATTACATGAATGGCCTGATTTGAACTTTATTTTAAATAAAAAAATTAGCTCAAAATTGTAGATATAAAATAGTTGTAACAAAATTTCTAGAATTAGCGTCTTTACTTAATTACTTTAGAGAGAAATATATGCATCATACGTATGTGATATTATAGAATGGGCCTGTCGTTGCATCAGCATGGCCACAGTCACGGCGGACACAGTCACGGTGGGCACAATCACGATGATGAGGAAAATGGGCATGATCATGATCTTAAAGACGAGCAATCAAAAAAGAATATCAATGTGCGCGCCGCATTCATTCACGTTTTGGGTGATTTTATTCAGAGCGTGGGAGTATTCGTCGCCGCATTAGTCATTTATTTTAAGGTATCTTCAAATTTTTATTAGTAATTTACCAACCATATTATTACATACTTTTATCGTGTCTCGTAAAATAAAAATAAAGCTTTGAAAAATTGTCATTCTTGCGTTCTTCATATATTTATCTTTTATAGAAGTTTTGTGACTCAATGAACAAACAGGCTTGTCTATCGAAAACATAAAGCATGACTAATATAATCGATTAATATTTCAGCCAAGTTGGAGCTTAGTGGATCCAATATGTACATTCCTCTTCTCCATATTAGTTATTTTCACTACAGTGGCGATTATTAAAGATGTAATTAATGTCTTGATGGAAGGTATTCCTAAGGGTTTTGACTATTCGCATGTGGAGAACACCTTTATGCAAATAGATGGAGTCGTTAAGGTGCACAATCTTAGAATCTGGGCGCTTTCACTCGATAAGACTGCTCTGTCAGCGCATCTTGCTATAAGTACGTACACCCAAAAATACAATTTAACATGTACACTTCTTATTTACGCATTTTAGTTATGCAACCAAGCTAAAGTCTTAAAATAATGTACGCCGTCACAAAGCATGCTCGTATTTATAGATTCTCAAATTCTTGCATCTGATACTAGATCCTTTAGCACTATCCTAGATCATTATATATATATATTTCTCGATTCAAACTGTATAAATTCTTGCATTTCATCGTTCAACTTTAAGCTTCTAAATTTATTATTATAAGTAAAATCATGTTTCGCATTCATATTATTGTCTTATTATCTATTTATTATTTTGCGATATTTATTTTTTATTGGAACATGCGATGTTTTTATTCGCAGAACCTGGATCAAGTCCCCAGAACATTTTATGCACCGCTACGCGGAATATCCACGACAAATACCAATTCTTTGAGATGACGTTGCAAATAGAGGAATTCAATGAACGAATGGAGAACTGCAAACAGTGCAAAGCGCTATCATAATAAGACAGTTACTGTTATCGTACTTATGTGTCCTATAGTCACAAAATAAGGGACGCAATGTGCAACGAAGATAATTTTAGATCGTTATCATCACAATCATATTCATCACAAATGAAGCCGTAAAGATTGCTTTATTCACGAAAGCAGCATACATGCATCACATTGAACTGTTGTTATACATTTTCTTTTTTCCTTTCTTTTTTTTAACCAGCTCATATAGATACATACGAGCAATCAATGTCACTCGTACAACGCGCGACGTGTTTATTATGAATAGTTTGTGTGTTATTCCTTTATGAGCTGATAAATTATAATTAGTTTCACAAATAAACCAAGATATATCATCGATTGTTTCAGTTACGATAAGTATTGTAAATGTTTCTCACGTTGATTTTCATACTAATAGATGGATATGTTAATCTTTCAAGTTAAAAATTGTAAAAATAATTAATATTTATTTTTAAGAGTGACTGTAAATGCTTCAGTAAAAGCATCGACGAGATATTATTAAAGATGACCGGCTAAAGACTTTTCGTATCCATGAAAGGACCCAAGGAGAGCTTGCCCATAATTATAGAGCATTGACATCATCAACTGTTTTGGCTGAGGATAATAAACATGATCTTTATAAGGACAGGTTTAATGTTATCCTCCCCAAACAAGACATATATTCAAAAACGAGACATGAGACATCTTAAAAACATTTTTTTAAAAAGACGTCTTAAGTCTACCCGTACAGCATACTTTATCTCAGAGATGTTCCTGCTAACGTTCTCAGAATATTGGGGCATTTTCAAGATATTCTTCAGAATATCCCTAGCTTGGATATCTGTGCTACGGGTAATCTACAGTGTGTTCTTTACTTTCTATTTCTTGTTTTTTACCTCATGCCTTTTTTCCTTTACGACCGTTTCATTGACAATCACATTTCTTTTCATGTACGTTTCTTATCTCTTTTGAAGTTCATCAACTTTTATTTCGGGCGAAAGAAAATAAAAAAATAAATAAGAGGCAAAAAGGCAATAAAAAGCAACCCGAGAAAAAAAATGTTATATATATATATGAATGTTATATATTTTATTGTATAATTATATATAATTTTATATAATTTTATATGAAACATTTTTGTGAGGAAGAAAGAGGAAACAAAGAGCGCATTACAGATTAGGCTTTAAAGATGTCTAAAATAGTCTAAGATATTTGTAAGATGTCTCACATCTCGATTTTGAACTTTTTGTTGTCTAGACAGTCTGGGTCCGGACCAATATAGCTAAATAGTCGATAATGTCATCGTTCTTCATGCACTTATCTCCGGACTTACTGGGTTGCGTTCCAAAACTCGACTGTGTCACTCCGAGTACCTATTATTTTATCCTTGTTCATCGAATGTTGAACAAGGATAAAAAGATATTCGGAGTTGACAGAGTCAAGTTTTGGAACGCACCCCTGACAATCACGATTTATCCAGAGTTGGTCGTATTTTTGTAATAATCCCTCGTTGGTGGTAAAAGTTACCACCTAGCAGATATTGTAATTGTAAAGGATATTGTACATATGCACTTGCAAAGAAAAAAAAAGAGAATAAATAAAAATTATATTGAACTTGAACTCAAGACAATTGTTATTTAATAATATATTCGTCCTGACGAAAATCATATGTACAAAACAGCTGTTATTACACGTGCGAATAACCACACACATATAAAATCATATACAGGATGCGTCACCAAAATCCGGACAAATTTCAATTAGAATTTTCCGCTATATTGTGCCTCCGCGAGAGGTTGTTGGCGTCCGAGAAAACCTGATGCTTCTAGTAAACAGTCATATTCTCAAAATTGCCGCGATGTTGAAATCAAGTGCGGAGTATCGAAGAGCCGCGATCATCGAAGGCCTTCGCGCTGGGCGCTCAGCAACGGAAATAATTCGGTTTTTTGGATACCCGAGATCAATCGTTTATGATGTTGTGGCAAAATATACGACTTTAGAACAGCCCAATGAAGGTTCCAATATGCCAGCGAGGAAGAGTCACTCGAAAGAGCGCGCGAAACGCACCGCGAGGATCCTCGCAGTCATTGAAAGAGCTCAAGAAGCATTGATTTCGGATGACCCAGGGCAATCGTTGCGAAAATTAGCATCGATTGTTGGTGTAAGCGAGCCAACAATGCGTCGAATTGCCGAGGAGGACCTTCGATACAAATCGTACACATTAAAGATACAACAGATGCTCTCTGAGGCTGCCAGGACAAGGCGAGTTGCTCGCTGCAATCTGTTATTGTGTTCCTTGAAAAACGAAGCGTCGGGACGAATCAAGTTCTTTTCTGACGAAAAAATTTTTGCTGTTGATGCCAAAATTAACCGGAGAAATGACCGATGGTTCGTCTACAATCCCGAGGATGTTTCTGTTGCCAGAACAAAATTTCCGGCCAATGTTCACGTGCTAGGTGTTGTGTCCAGTGAGGGTGATATCATGCCACCACATTTCTTTATAAAAGGGGAAACAAAGGAGTCACAAAAGAAGTATATTTGCGCGTTCTGAGGGATGTAGTGAAGCCGTGGATGGAAACTGTAGCATCCGGAAGGCCATATGTTTTTCAACAGGACGATGCACCGGCTCATACGAGTCATTTGATTCAAAATTGGCTCTCAGACAACGTCGATATATTTTGGTCCAAAGAATTCTGGCCTCCTAACAGCCCAGATTTAAATCCCTTGGATTACTACGTATGGAGCGTAGTTGAAAGCAGGGCTGGGTAATCATTTAAAATTCCAAATATAAAATACTTAAAAAAATGTATTTAAAATGTAAAATGTTTTTCGAATCCACTTTATATGTAAAATGGGTAAATAGATATTTTAAATAGTTTTCAAATACAGAATGGTTTTCAAAAAAAAACCTACATACATTTTAATATACATTTTTTAAGTATTTTACATTTAGCATTTTAAATAGAATTACATTTTAAATGGCATTTTAAATGCAAAAATACTCAGCCCTGGTTGAAAGAGTCACAAACAAGTCTCGGCATCCCAATGTAACGTCATTAAGGACCGCTATTGAGGCAACATTCGTCGGCATGGACAGCGCTACATTACAGCATGCGTGCCAACGCTTCAGACCGAGAATAGAGGCCGTCATTCAAGCTAATGGGGGATATATCGAATAATTATGCTCTATAGGGATCCAAATGCCATGTAAAAAAATTTTTTGTAATATTTAATTTTTCATTAAAAACATTTTATCACACTAAAAAATTTTATCAAGAAGGGAAAAGACAAGTTAGAGTTACTTTCCAATCAGAACGTAGTATACAAGATTTCTTGTGACGACTGTGAGGCTAGCTATGTTGGTCAGACGAAAAGAAAATTGAGTACGAGATTACACGAGCATATCTCTGAGATAAGAAAAAAGACTGGTTCTCCTACTGTCATAACCGACCATCGTATTAATTTTGACCACAATTTTAGATGGAATGAAATAAAGATTTTGGATAGTGAATCTTCATATAATAAAAGATTGGTATCTGAAATGATCCATATCAAAAGACAAAAACAAGGTCTTAATAAACAAAATGAAACAGATTCGCTGCCAGAATCTTACTTACAAATTATAGAATCTCTCTCTCCTTCATAATTACTTTCTTTTTCTTTCTTTTTACACTCCCTCTCCCCTTTCTTCTTTCTCTATTCAATTTTCCCCTTCTTATGCTCTCTCTCCTTTTCTTCTATTTTACCACATCAACCTTCTTGTCTTTTGAATGTCGATTCATATTGTATCAGTACAGAGACGAATAATGACACGATTTTTCACTTTATTCGCATTGTTCTTATGATAGACTGTCTATTAAGATCCACATGTAAGGTATTTATTCTTTTTCGATTCAGCTGCTACTAAATTATTTTTAATTATAGATAATGTACTATTGCATATATTATAACGTTTATTAATGGTAGTTTATATTTCTTACTATTTTATATTACTATCTCTATCACTTTATATGACTTATAATTGTACTTCTCAACAGAAATGATAATAACGCTACATTATACATAAACGGAAGATCATTGTTACGGATACCACATTGTACCATATTTGCTTCGAATGTTAACGAAAATGTTAATACTGCGAAAGGAGAGTGAAGTATAATTTTTAAATTTTATTTTTAATTTTATTATTGTATTGTTCATTTTAACATTGATAATGATCCGATAGGGATCGAAACGTTTGTCTTTATTTTGTCATTTATTGTTTATAGCCGGCATTAAAGTTTTTATATTCTAATGACATATTTATTTTACTAATAATTTAAATCATAACGATTAAAAAAAACCTTTGGCTCGTAATCCTATTTCCTTTTTTATTTTTTGAATTTATTGAGCCTTATTACTATTATATTTTTAAAAACATTTTGTTTAAAGAGAAATTGTTCGATTTGTCCGGATTTTGGTGACGCACCTTGTACATAAGGTTTGTTCGCGTCACATATTCCAACATGTTCCAATATGCTCCAATCATAGTTCTTACTCACTCCAACGTATTTGATAGAGTGAATAGGAGCTATGATAGGAGCATGTTGAACTTTGGAACATGTTGGAGCTTGCGACAAATAGAGGGAAGTCCCCTATTATGAGATAGGCGCCTAATATGAGATAGCAGCGTTTCTGCTAAACTAATAAACGCTATCTATTGGTTCCACTATGAATTTATTGCTCTTGGATTGAAAACTATTTAGTAAAAAGTTCATTATTAGATCATGCCTGTAGTTATTGTAAAACAAGATTTTAGAATTTGGATGTCTTCAAGTTTTATTGAGACCTTGTTTATTATTTAATAATAAATAAAAAATAAATATTTGGCAATAAAATCTTCATATAGTGATAGAGTAAGGTCGTACTAATAGAAAAATACGGGATATGTTGAATTGTTTAATTATAGAAGTTAGATTTGATGATCGTAAAGCTATAAGGCGTGGAAATCGTAATATGAGATACCCAGGGTATTCCTAATATGAAATATATTAGGAATGCTCCTATGTTATAGTAAGAATCGTTGCTAAAGTATAAATGTTATTGTACAACAATAAAAAAGACAACCGGAATGAACGTCGAGTGCCTATATCTGCGATGCTTGATTCCAACTACCTGAAAACAAGTTCTAAATATTTTCCGCTTTACTATCGATTTTTCGGAACATCTCATATTAGGAGCACAATTTTTTCATTTTGCGTCTTGCTCACTTTTTACATTTCTTTAATTTAAAAAAAAAAATGGAATTTGAATTAAATTTTAGGTAACGTCATCTTAAAGCTTATTAAATTCCTTTCAAAATGATCTATCATTTTTTTTTATTCTGCTTATAGACTTCTAGCATTTACCCAAAATGAATTCGATATCTCATAATAGGGACCTTTCTTCTACACCTATAAATATACATGCACAAAAGGCAAATAAAACTAAGATGGCAGCCACTAAGAACAAGTAAGTAGGATTCCTAACGTATATAAATGTAAAAACCGATAGAATTTCCTCGTGACAGCGATTACCGGACAGTTAATTTATTCCTGTCTTTATTTACAGATTGGAGGATTGCGAGGTATGCGGCACGGTTAAGGCGCGATACACCTGCCCGAAATGTGAGGTTAGAACATGCTCTCTCACGTGCGTAAACGTTCATAAGAAGGAGCTAGAATGTAATGGGATCCGAGATCCGACCAAGTTCGTCCCTTTAGCGACGTTTACTGACTTAGATTTATTGAGCGGTAAGAGAATGGTCTCCTTTCTCCATTTAAGTTACCCGAGACATTTTAAAATGATAATTATATAGAATAGGTCCCATAGCTTAAAAATCAATAAAATTAGGCTTATTCGACGCCTTTTTGCCTGAAACGAAAGAATCTGGCAGAAATAAGCGTCGCTCTGCCTCGCAAACCGAGATATTAAGCGTTAAAGTTGACTACTAATGAAATCAGAAAATCTGTCGAAAGGGTCGAAAAACGCGTCGAATAAGCCTAATTTTATTGATTTTTAAGCTGCGGGACCTGTTCTGTATAATTACCCTTAAAATTTTAATACTATATTTTCTAGACTATCGCTTTCTCGAGCAAGTTGGCAGATCAATTGATACAAAGAAGAGAAATCCAGAGATAAAATACACTCGCCAAGCTGTTACTCTACCAGTGGTATGATATTCTCTCATTTTTGTTTATATTTTTTAAGAATGCAACAAAGTCACAATGTCTTCTCTTTCAGCACCTACATAAATTGAGATGCGCTGCGTCCTGTAGAAAAGTGTCGCTGTTATTTATGCCGCAAGTCTTCAGTCGGCACAAGGAGAACACTACGTACCTTAACTGGAAGACCAATGAGCTATTCTGGCGTCTAGAATGGATTTTTCCACAAGCTGAAAACATAAAGTACACAATAGACAGGTACATAAATACTTGTCATCTCTGAAAGTCGATAAATAGTTTTTAAGAAATGAATAATACATTATTATGTATATTATAGAACTCTAGACAACGTAAGATTATCAACATTGGTGGAACAGGTTTTAGATCCAATTTCTGCGACAGATGAGACTGACATTGAAAAATTGAACACAAAACTATTTTTAGCTGATAAATTACAATTTTATAGAGCAGCTGGGTTAACTAATATTAAAATTCTTTTAAAAGCCGAGAAAATAAAGAAGGCACAGTCCAGGTAAATATTTCTTTTTTTTTAGTCTTATAAAAGCACTTAACTAATTATAATTGATTATTTTTAGATTTTATGACTTGGATCTTACGCTTACATTACAAGAAAATTTGGAGAATAAGACTATAGTGGAGTTTCCGACATTGCATGTCGTTATGAAGGATCACTCGAATATGTATGATATTATAGATACTGGTAAATATTATTCATTACAACAACCATTACAATTCCAATATGTTATCATAGAGCAGTACATCATATACATATTATTTTCTAGATGAAGAAATGAGTGATGCAGAGTGTACAAGTTACGGAGCAAAGAAAAAATACAACAATAACAGGCCCAATGATGACAAAAAAGACGAACCAGTAAATTATTTCTTCAATGATTTTTCAGATTCTGATGGTGAAAATACGGATAATAAAGTAAAAAAAAAGAAAGGATCGCTTAATATACAATACCAAATTACGAAGAGTTAATAAAAATGTAAAAATTACATCCATTATTATAAATATTGACTTATATATAGATATTTTTATTGTAAATACATCATTATAATTTTGATACAGATGAAATACAAATGTAGCAACATTAATGACGTGTATGATCGTCTATAATACATTTTTTCTTAATTGGTTCCTTTTCCACATATACTGATAATACATATATCTGCATACCACCCAAAAATACAACCGCACTCAAATAATAAATATATCTTTTTAAATTTATATTAAAGCGGGGAGCACAGACTCTTGCATAACGCATAACACGTAATGTATAAGAAAACGAACCAAAGTCCTTCGTTTCCTTCCTTTCCATGAAATAAAGAACTCCGATTGATTGAATTTCTTATGCCTTATGTGTTATGCAAGAGTCTGTGCTTCCCGCTTAACTCGGGACTCTCTTTACAGAGGGACTTCATAAAATGTGATATGATTCAACAAAGATATGATAAATACAATCTATAAGTACGTGGAATGATACTTATCTTTTTTTTTTCAATGGAAAAAATTTATGGTATCTCTACTCAAAAAAACTTATTCCAGTTGATAATGTAGAGATAATTTATTTTTCATCATTACAACAAACTACGAAAATAAATAAATCACACAAATATTTGCTACAATATGTTTTTAAAATAATGACATATTGTATAGTTTTTATGTAGAAATTACTAGATCCCTTCCACAAAATTATTAGAACGATTCAATAAAAATATTAAAATAAAAAATTATATCTATTCATTTCTATGTAACGAAAAATTATTTTGTCATTGAACAACGTTAAAAAATCATTGAATATTTTTATATACTATTTTTTTATAAACATAATTTTTACATGGATCAATTTAAATATATCAATACAATATAATTACATTTTCGCAATTTTTATCTTTTATGTAAAAGTTTTCATTTTCCTCTTCTGTAAATATAAATGGATGTTGGAATCACACAAATACTCCGCAATTATGAGCGAGATAAACAAAAATATTCTATCCTTGAAAATGGAATACCTTTGACGTATAATATCGAAGTTTTTTATTCATGTTGTTTAACTAAAGAATGAAGAAATATAACAGAAAGACCAAAAATGCAACAAGACCAGCAACGGCTTTCACGTACATCGATTTGCTATTCAGATGTCTCGCGTCTTTTTTATACTTTTGTGACAACATAGACAAGTTTTGGGTCTTGGAATCCAATTCTGTAAAATACAAATAATATTTTAGTACATGTAGATTTTTACATTTCTAGCTTTTTACACAAACAGAACAGTTCTACGTTACCTGAAAGTATGGTACCCCTTTGTAAAACATCATCGATATTTTGTACCATGATTCTTTGCACATCTTGCAACTGGCTGTTAAGCGTGTTCAAGTTTCTGCGAGATCTACTGTCCATAAAGATCTTCTTGGCTTTTTGAATGTACGTATCTGAAAAACAAACAACGTAAAGCTAATGCAATGCACATGCTCAGTAAGACGTTAACATTCACAGTCATCTATAGCATACCAAATTCGATAAAGGTATAAGGCCTGGTCACTGTATTTACACGTTTTCCATACTGAGCATGAAACTCTTGTGCTATATCTTCCAAGTAGCTGTAAGCTATGCGTGTGCTGTAATTCCTTTCGCATAGTACCAGATAACACACCTCATTTTCGATTAAATAACTATAAACAAAGTACGACATACAACTGTTTTAAAATACATAGATCAAACTCGCTAAGCATACATTTAGATTCTCTACTTGAGTAGTCCTATGTATCATTTTGATTTTTGATCTTTTTAATCGTTATTACAACATGAGAAAGTTACAAAATCATTTTATTCATCTTTAACATTCAATAAATAAGGATACAATGATACAATAGGACACTCTCAGGTGGAGAATTCAAACACAGCCCAACTGTCACTTACTGGAAAAGATACGGTCCAGTTTCGAGGGTACACCTTGTCGGAGACTGTGGACCTAGTTTTCTGAATAGCATCTTTGCTTGATTTTGATATTCCACAATATTTTTACCATCCTATGGCACAAAACAGAACATATTAACTTCTAAGTTTAATAAAATATATAAATATAAAGATTAAAGATACATAAATAAATTATATAAATATACGCAAACATAAAAATAATAAAATACAACAGATGCCAGTCTAAATATTGATTTGCTTCAAAAATCTAAACTTTCATGTCAATCTCCACCAATGCAGACTTACTTTGATCTCTGTTCAACTTACTCTTCGTTTTTTTCTAGTTATGAAAATCAAAGAAAGATGAGTAAACGCTAATTACATTGGTGGAAAGTTACTTTAACAAATAAATTTCATGATCCCTTCTCCTACAATGTCAGTAATAAGACTTCCGTCGACGAATCTAGTTAATTGCACAAGTGTGACGGCTAATCGTAAGAACGAGGTGACGTTTCATCATAGCATACGTCTAACCTGCTCGTTGTCCTGCATGGTGGCCGCCAGTGGCAGGCCGTCTGCCACCCTCGCGATTATCGTGAACAGGACCATCCTATCGAAGACCTATTCACCGATCCCGTCTGGAACGAGCGAGGAGAAGAATTAATCGCACAATCGTCGCGCTGCTCCGCGACTTCAACGTCCGAGGACCATTCGCGCGTAACTGATCGCCGATGTGGCCGCCGCGCGTCCACTCCCGACCCACCACGTCAGTCGATCCAGTCGATCTGCGCGCCGATCGCTCGAGCGACGATCGCTTATCCGCCGAGTGGGCAAACGGCTGACGGACGTACGCACTGTACTACGCTCCGCGTTACCATCGGCAGTCGACGTAAGAGTCGATGTCGTCGGTGAGACTGGTGAGAGCATCGCGAAGAGATTAAATACACGGAGACTGTTTTTTTTTATTCCTGCACTAAACTGCACTAGAATTCTTTTTCTCGCTTTCGCCAAATATATCAAACGCATATCTATCTTTACTTTAAGTTCCAAAAGTGCACATTAGTTCAGCTACAGAAAACGGATCTTAACGACGTTTGCGAGCGCGCGTGCACGCGACGTTCGCGCACTCGTCTAGCGTCGCTCGTGGCAGGAGATTTAACTCGCCGCGAGTCGCAAGGAAATGTCCAACCGTGCGTTTTCGAGACGAATAATTGCCCGCTGCTGTCGCGTAACCCGTGAGACTTCGTCTTCCTTTCTGAGGAAATAAAAGGAATTTCCTATTGAAAATAATTGTTGGTGCGCCACGTTCGAATCGACCGGCGGGCGCCAGCCCGATCGGCGCGGCGTGACGCTCGACTTCCGGCCTCGGCTTTTGACGTTCGTCCCGGTTCCGCTCGCGTGGAAACTTGTGGAAAGTCGCCCTGGGGAACGGGGAGTCGGGGAGAGAAAGGATCCGTGACGTTCTCGGCCTCTCGGCTGTTCTCGGCCGCGAGTCGTGTTTGCCTCTTTCTCTCTCTCTCTCTCTCTCTCTCTCTCTCTCTCTCTCTCTCTCTCTCTCTCTCTTTCTGTGAGTCTATCTTACTTTCTTACGTACGTCGAAATGTCCGCGTACTCCTGAGATTGAGTGTCCGCGCGCGGCTATCGACATCGACCTCGACGACGAGGACGAGGACGACGACGTTCGCTCCGCCGTGAGAAGAAACCCGCAGAAGTGACTGGTAGTGGCAACGGTCAATAATGCGCATACCGGACGCGTGGAAACGGCAACGCGAGCGACGATAACTTTAGGTGAGTGAACGCGTATGCGAACGTCGACTCTCCCCCGCGCCGTCGAGCGCCGTCGATTCTCACAGCTGGTCGCCTGAATCTTGCGATCTCGCCACGTTCCCCGGACGGAGACGGCCAGGAAGGCACCCTGCCACGTCTGTGATTACATAATTACGTTAAACCGAGCGCCTCCGCATCGTCGGGGCCGCGAGATTCCTCGGCTGGTGGGGCTCTCTTTATCGGATGGCCGAAAGCCCTCCTTTCGTTCGCCAAGATTTACGAAACAATCTTCTTGCATTTACTTAGGATCGTTTTCGTCGCGCATTCGTTTTTCATTTTCTTCCTTCGACAATGCGACGTGCTGAAGAATCTTTGGAAATCGTTTAGTACCACGAAAACTTGCGGCTAATGACCTATTTATAATTCACATCCGTGTACTAAGGCTGTCAGTGTCGCAATGACAAGCGTTTTCCTCGGATCGCGAATGGAGTTCGATCTGTTAAACATTAGTTTTGACGATAAACTTTCCTTCCTCAAATCGTTACATGACAGCGAAAATTATTCTTGATTTATTGCCAATCGTGTAAAAGTGACATATGCACACTGAATATGCATGATAGAATTATATGAAAACGTTTTATCACTCTGAAATTTTTAGAGTGAATCTTACTCTTAAAAATTGAAAATTAAGTTATTCTTTTTTAAGACTAATTAAATTTTCACTTTTTAGAGTGGGATTCCCTTCAAAGAATTTAGAGAACATACTTTTCTGCGATTTCTACTTAATCCCTGCTGTCTCCGTTGAATCTTCATTTGAGATGTGCCATCGCACGTGTGTTCTATTTTGTATTGTTTATATTTACAGATCTCAAAGATTGCTGTAAATCAGGCTGCAAAGTCCTGCAGGCAGCATGAATGTAAGTATATGTTGGATACTTTACGAGTCATGAGTTGTGACAACGGAATAAGTGATTCATCAGATGTTAAAATAATTTAATTGCAATTATAGAATCCTTATCGAGCTAGACCCGCCAGATCTCGGGTGGATCATTCAGCTACATATGGAATGCACAATCAAAATATGTGGATACCCATGTCTGGGCCTCAATCGGATGTCCCACCGAATGATACCACCCAGCAATCTTTTACGAACCAGTCAAAACATGCGAGCGATACATGGAAGGATCCCTGGGACTGGAATCTGGACCAACAGTCGGATACCCAGCAGCAGCAATCACCACCACAGCAGCCACCACCACAACAGCAACAGCATTACATACCCTCGTATCAGAATCAAGGACAGCTGATATCCGATTCTATGCGAAACCATTATTATAAAAATCTTAATGGTAATACATCCGATGTACTTAACCAGAACTCCGTGTCAGGCAGAAACACTCCCAGGTCGGAGTCTGCTTGTCAGACTGGGTCGAGTTACATGGATTCTTTCCCGCCCTACGCGAATTATAATCAAAGTCAGCAGTATCCGTTGCCTCGACAGAACAACGCGAAATCCAATTTCGAGCATGCTCAATGGCCGAACGAACATCAGTCGTCAAATGCAGCTTATACTCAGCAAAGACTCGTGCCGCAACAAAGCCAGAAGGATCAACCACCATTGCATTTACCATCAACACATCCACCACCAACACATCCACCACCGACACACCCACCACCGACACACCCACCACCAACACATCCACCACCGATGGCAACACATAACAATTATAATTGGAGTAAAGACGACACAACAAACTTACCATTGCAACGTAATTGGCAGAATCATACCGATACTCTAGGTCAGTGGCAGGATCAAACCACGTCGCAGGAAATGCAACAGCCAACAGTCGACAATCAATGTGCGCAATCATCGCAAATATACAATGCGCCTATCGAGGGGGTCAATAAGGAACATTCCGTGAACTGGTCTACCAATGAGCAACAGAGTAACGAAGCGGGTAATAAGTCTAATGTCGTATCGAATCAGTGGCATAATCAAAATCGCGAGTCCCAACCTCAATCCGCGCATTTAATACAAACAAATAATGTAGATGACGCATTTGCTTCTTGGCCACAGTCGAGCAACATCAGTGCCTCGCACAATTGGAGAAATTCTAACGTGCAAAACGAATCTGTACATGCAACTTCTACGCAATGGTTACAGCCAACGAGTGCGGATAACAGTTCGTTCGCGCAGAACGTATCACAGAATAATAACAGCGTTAGGTTTGCTGTGAACGAATGGCAACAAGTGCACATGGCGCCATTCCACTATGCTCCAGCATCTACAACTGTAACAGCAGCAGCACCTACAAGCGTAAAAAATATTGTACATACACCCAATAATAATGAACAAGAGAACGAGAAGCAAGCAGCAGTAGCTTCTATCGCAACTCCTGTGTCGCCTCACGATTCAATCAGTCACGCAAAATCGAGCGATATTAAGTCACCGATTGGAGATCACCATAATCTAAACGTACTGACTGATGATACACCGAAAAATGATCTTTCTAAAACCGTTCTTAGCGAAAAGGACCGTTCTTTTGATTCTACAGTGACAGAGGAATTAACCAGCAGTTTTGGTCATCTTAATCTTAATAGTAAGTCGGGAAAACACGTAGATCTTTTGGGTGAATCGTTAGAGGTACAGTCGAACCCCGTTCTACAAGAAGGGAGAGCTCAACATCCTGCTAATTTCAACGTCGCGAGTATCCGAGACAATTCTGTTCCCGATAATATGTCCGTGCTACCTCCAGATTACGCGTCAAGCGGTATAGAGAATTCTCATTCTGTCGATAGCCAGCCAGTTGTCTGTCAAGATCCTCTAATATCGAATACATATCAAAGTGGTGCTACTAAAATAATAGATAGCATCTCGCAAAGCGGTTATCAATGGGATCAATGGTACAATCAAAATACGTTAGAGAATGCATGGTATGCGAAGGATCACTCACGTCCACCTCCCAAACAGTGGAACACTCCTGAGCAGAACGTAGAGAATTACGAGAATATCCAGCAATCATCCGACTTCATAAACGTCGAGGTTGTTGCGCCTGCAACGTTAAAAGAGCGCGATATTTACGGTTCTCGGGATTCCATAAACAAAGAAACGTTGGACAACGATCCCAAGCCAAGCGCGAGTCCTAAAGAAGCGACGAATATTCGGGATTTCCGGGAGGAGGTGAACAACGTCGAAGTGCTGTCGGTGCAGCAACAGCAGCAGCAAACTCGGTCTCATCCTCCACCTTTGACGGAACAAATGCCGGATAATTATGAATTCGCTTCGAATGATAGAAATACGTTTTTAGAGACTGGCGAGTTGACGGACTCGCATCAGGAACACGAACCAACGCCACCGAGCCAGGATGACGAAAATGATGAAGTGCCTAACGATATTCCCTTCCTGCGCGAAGTACCGGGACAATCGAGTACCATAGATCCACGCAGAAATGATCCTACAGGTCAGGAGCAGACTGGACAACGTCTGTCCGATCCTAGGAGGAATGATCCATCGGGTCAGGAACAAAGTATACAAGTTAGAAATATACCTGATAGATTCCTTTGTTATTACGAGGTGATACGGACACGCTAGAACGACGAAATGATCCTTCGGGTAGGGAACGTTCTCTTCCACCGCAACAGCCTCTTCCATCGCGAAATGATCCATCAGGTGAAGAGAGGCATCAGCTACAGTTGCAGATAATGATGGAGCCGAGCGAGACTCGTGAAGTGCTCGGCAGAGGCAACGAGCCCGACGAAGTTGCGCAGCAAACAGACGCGGAACGTAGACAGATACCAGGCGGAGCATCTTCTAACGACGTCACGCAGTTGTCGGACGACAGGACAACAGGTGGTAGAGTTGTTACTGGCTCTCTTCCGGAGGTTCCTTCGCCGATGTCCGCGATGCAGGATCAGGCGAGTGAATCGCGAAATAAACGTGAAGAAGCGGTAGGCGCATCTTTGGAAAGCGAGAGCCAGGACATCTCCAGCTCCTCGAATCGACGGGATTCCTATGAAGACGAAAAAGATGAGGGATCTCGCAACAGTCGAGACGAAAGTAGAGAGAGACGACGAGAAACAAGTCCTGATCATCGACGATACGAATATGACCGGAAGAATGCGTACTACAATCATGAATACGAAGACGATTATTATTACAAACGTCAACGCGCGGGCGACAATGATCGTCAGTATAATGCCCGCGACGACTTCGAGCGACGGGATGTTTCGTATCAGGAAGACGAACGTAATCTCAGTCGCGACGATTTAGATCGACATGGTAGAGACGATATGGATAGAAGAATCAGGGGAAAAGAGGATCTAGATGAAAGGGACAGTAGAAGAAGACCAGATGATCGCAGAAGAGACAGAGGTGATGATCCACGTCGTCGAGACAGAGATCCAAGAGATTATGATGCACGATATTCTAGAGATCCTAAGGATAGAGAATATATGGGTGAAAGAAGAAGGGACGATAGACGATTACGAAGACACGAAGATTGCGATATTAAAGATCCGTATAGAAGGAACAACGACGATGATCCTTATAGAAGAAGGTATATTAATTATTCTAATATACACAAGATATTTCTTAAACAAACGGTCAAACTATGCATATTTTACCAGCTTATTCTCTATTATTTTTTTTATAAAAAAAAATCCCAAATTCAAACTGATCTATCATTTTTATCGTTTTGGTGTTTTTAACTACTACTTTTATTATTGAACACTATTGCTTCTATTTAAGTAATGTTAAATGTTATGTAAATTTGACGGTTTATTTATAATTTTTCTTTTAACGTACAACTTTTCTGCTTATAATTTATTGATTAATATATTAATTTATTGTATTTTATATTACATTTATATTTACTCTTTCACAGTTCTAGGCCTTCAAGTAGATCTTCTTATAATGATAAAGACCGTACGATGGAACAATACATGCATGTGAAAGACCTTTATGGTACGTGTGATGCAACATACGAATATAATATATATTATATATAAAAAATAACGTTATTTATGTGAAAGTAGCTATTAAATATATATTCAATTGTGAATGTGCAGAATACATTTCTTATTCATATCTTGTGAACCTACGTCGGACGAATCCTGCTGCCTATTCTGAGTGGTACTATAAATATTACGCGAGTCAGCAGCAGCAACAGCACATTGCCAGAGGAGTCAGTAATTATCCAGAAGATAGAGCCAGTGTTCATTCCGGCCGTAGCTCCTGCGACGACAGGTATATTCTGAAATCTTCTTTTTAAAAAGTTTTTGAACAGTCAGTTTTGTTTCTTATCTCAGATCTTATAACATTCATTGTATGTCAGATTTTTTCCAATCCCAAGTGCATGTTTCCATTCACCCAACAAGGCATTGTATGTCCCACATTTCGAATATTCCGGATGGGTCGGAAATCCACGGGAGCGCAGTACGGTTTGTCGCAATTTTAATAGGTGAGACCGGGAGTCTTCTCTCGGTTCAAAATGTTTAAGCTAGACTTATGTAAAATTTAATTCCCTCCCAGTATTTTAAAATTTCAATCATGGCATATACAATTTTGGTTAAATATACGTAGCGTGTAGAAAATCTGCGTGTATAATTATTCGTAATAGTTCATATTAAGGACGTTCTTGCGTTTGATGAAATATAAGACAAGTCTATAATGTACATGTAATGCAAAAGTTAATAATATCAATAATATCTAGAAAAAATTTCATTGACTTTTATCGTACACACACCATTTTAAAGATATTTAATTCTAAATTTATAGAATTTTACATTACAAGTTGAAGATATAACCTTATTCTGTAGTTATTCTCTTTTAAATTGAGACACTTGCGTAAGATTTCATAAGACAGCAATTTAAAAATTGTTTATAATTTATAATTATAAAGTAAACACTTAAGTTTGTCCTCGTAAAATTTCATTTAAATTGACCGTACAGTTTACACACAAGAAATTTATATTCTTCAATGAAAAAAACTAGAATATATGTCAAATGGACGATGCATATACATCAAATGAGCATCTTACAACTTTTATTTTGTCATTTTGAAAATATTTAGTAACATATAAAATTAAAAATAATTATGTATAATCGTATAAAATATTGTTAAAAAATAACCTTTTTATTTCATTATTTTAATTGTTTTACATATTATTATGAATAAACTATCTGTTGATTAGGAAGTAACGCGAGAACCTCCTTAAGCGTATATTATCATAACAATTATTTAACGCAATAAAATGTTATACAGTATGACAGTAACTATATAAAAATACAGTAAAACTCCGTTTATCCTGTCAAGGAATAGAATAGTTTCGATAACCGTATATAATTCGGATGATAAAGGCTTATTAACTCTCCCCTCTACCAGTACCTACCTATTAGTTCCGATAAATTTATTGCATAATTGAAGTGGAAGATGCTTATTTTGTACATAATTATGTGTCTTCATATTTATCATAATATATTATTTATGTTATAATTAATGTCATAATTCTTTAAAGATTCTTTATTAAAAGAAAGAATAATGTTTATTTCAGGACTACTGGTGATAAACGAACATTGGGTGATATGTCGTTGTTGGAAGATACAATAATTACTTCTGCTCGATTGACACCGACTAAATATTCCACGTCTCATGTATATGGTATAGTTTCTGATATTAATTGTATATGTTTTTTTTATTAATGCTTAATATCATTAAGCTAATTAAAAAAATTATTCTCTCATAGGATGCTTTTCCATTGGATCTTTGATACATGTTCATCCAAGTTATCCAGCTGATGGCGAAAGAGCTAAAGTGGATATTTTTCGCGTAGATAACTTACTCTCGCATGATCCTGTTGCACGCGATTTACGATTGTATCCAGGACCTCTAATTAAGTAAGTAGAATCATATAAAAGTGTACAATATGTACAGTAGGTACATAAAAAAGTATAATTCAATATAAGTAATATACATAACGATGACTTGTTGCAGTGGTGTAACGCATAAGAAGACTATCATAGAATATTGCGAAAATAAAATTAAAAAGGCAGTGATAAATGAAAAAATTATTGATCGCTCTTCATACATCTTGTTATACGAACTAATGATTATGTTAATTCAACAAAATGGAGTAAGTTGCTCTTCATTAAAAAAAATAGCTTAAAATTGTTTGAACAAATTAATATCGCTTAAATTTGCCATTCAGAACGTTGTTGGCGTCGATATTGCTGGACTCTTATTGCGTAATAAGGATGCTTATCCTTACGACGCGAACAAATTCAGATCTCAGGATGTAGGACGCAGAGAATCGCAAATATCGCAGCGATCTGGAGCAACGGGCAGCGACGGAAGTACCCAAGATATTTCAACATTATCCGAGAAAATTGAAACCAAGCAACGAAAAACTGTAGAACAAATAACAGATGAATTCAGAGATACGTTACTCTACGGACGGGTTCAAGAAGCATTAGGTATATAAAAAAGGCTTTATTTCTTTTTTCGTTAAATGTTATGAATGTTACTAATTGCTTTTTTCTTTTTACTTACCTATAACAGAGTACGCGATGAACGAAGGACTTTGGGGCCACGCTCTCTTCCTAGCTAGTAAACTGGATAAACGCACGCACGCTTCTGTAATGACTCGTTTTGCAAACAGTCTGCCATCACACGATCCACTGCAGACCCTGTATCAACTGCATTCTGGTCGTATACCTGCTATAGTTACGGTAAAAATTATGCTTCTGTTTTATGATAAAATTATTCACGCTTCTTCGTACTACTAATTATTAATTTTTTTTTTCTGCAGTGCGTCGCGGATCCGCGCTGGGACGATTGGCGGCCTCATCTAGCTATGATTATATCTAATACCTCGACCAATCCGGAAGTTAATCGCCGATCAATAACGACTCTCGGGGATACGTTATTCGCGAGGGGCGACATCCATGCCGCACATTTTTGTTACATACTCGCGGAAATTGATTTCGGCACTTACGGAACTAATGGAGTTAAACTTGTGTTGATCGGCGCTAATCACAACAAGTCGTATTCTGAATTCTTTACCATGGAAGCTGTCATGTTAACAGAAATATACGAATACGCTCGGAACCTTAGCGATCCGCATTTCACATTAGTAGACCTTCAAACATTCAAATTTGATCTAACCGTGAAGATGGTGGATTGTGGATTAATAGAGAAAGCTTTATTATATATCGAACAGATTGCAATAAATATCGCGAACGATCCATCGAAATACAAGAAATCCTTCATCGAAGCGGTTTATGTATTAGGCGATCGAATCAAGTATCACGATCCAGTCTATAAGGACGCTATCGAAGATGCTGCGAATGTAACATGGCTTAATAGATTAGCGGAGATAGTTGGAAAATATCAGGTCATTATATGATTCTTTTACGAAATATGATATTTAATTTTACTGTACGTTAATGCAAATATTAAATAGAATTCTGTTATAGGATGAACAGGCTGTCGAAAATGAAACGTACAGTTCTCGTACTATGATAGAAAATCAGGAAATTCATGAAGTAAAACATCAGCAACAGCAACCATTGCAACTACCCCCATTATCATCACAACAACAATGGAACACTATACAATCCGATTACAATGACGGGCCTACGTCGATGGAAGTTAACACGAGTGAAATGCAACCATTATCTTTGCCCACGAACATTCAAGCTACATACGATCCGAATGCGCAATATATGAGAAACATAGACGAATCTGTTCAGTATCAGCAGTCGCAACAAGATTATTGGAGCCAGCAGTTGTATCAAAATAATTACGGGAGAAACGAATCTATGCAATCTAATTGGCAGCAACAGTCTACACCAGTCTACACCTTAACTGATCAGACTGAAGTAACTAACTCGCAACAACAAGACAAATGGAACTATGAGGTATATTAAAAAGTAGCTATAGCTTTATTACATCATCTTTTAATACAAAAATTTAATCATTACGCGTATCTTCCTCATAATGTATATCATCTTCGCATTCATATAATTTATATAATTTTTATGTCACTTTCATATTTTCATCTTTTCATGAATATCGATTCTTTATAAAAATGATACATCTTAATTTTGTTTATAATTTTCTACATTATTTACCATAAAGTATTGCAATTAACTATAGACTTATATATATAATAATATTATATATATATAATAGACTGTACGCTTCCATTGGAAACGTGAAGACAACATTAGTAACAGGGCAATATTTGATTAGATGTTTTGTCATGTAATGCACAATTGAATAAAGAAAGTATATAAATATCTATTACTTTTTCTTGCTATTGTTGTCCTCACGTCTCCAATGGAAACGTACAGTCTAGTATATAAGTCTATACAATTAACATTTTTCACCTGTTTTCTTTAATGCTTGCTCACCGACAGACGGAAAGGGAAGACAAAACACCCACACCTGAAGTAAGTAATTGCAGACTTACCTCGGATAATATTCTCGATCCTGAAAGATTGCCAAATGTTACCGGTACTAATTTGTTACGCCGTCGAAATGTGTCTGTAAAATCAAATCCGTATATCGCCTCTGCATTTGATGATAACGCTCCTGGTCATGTACCCACATTCTTTAACCTATCCAGTGATAATCTCGATGTCAAAGTTCCAAATTCTCGTAAAAGATATCCCAAATTGACTATGAGCTATCCAAAAATTTTACCAAACAACAAAGTACACTCAAAAGATATTAGAAAACCGAGACGCGTCGATTCTATATTTTCGAAACCACCGTGCTCGCAAGCATCGGTGTTCCTAAAATGTAAGATTAAGAAAAAGAATCCGTCCGAGGATAAAGAAGAAACGGCGCCAGATAGACTGGATAAAGGCAATTTATCCGTGTCTCAAACTACAGATCTAGATATTCAATTTAGCAAATTGAAACTCGAGTCTCTTTTAGCGTCGGACTTATCTTTCGAAACCAAAGAGAGTCACGTTACTTTCAGTAACGAAGCACAAACCTTAAAACAGTATTGTAATTTCGAGGAGAAGAAAGTTATGAGAGTTGCACCGCATATTCGCAGAAAGGATGTTATTTGCGATACAGTAGACGCATGGTCATACGATAGTACCGGGCAAAATATTTCGGAATCGTCCAGATATAAGCCACTAGTTTTCGGTGGCACATATCCGATTGATTTACCTCTTCGATTTAGAAATAATAATCTAGTCGATGATACTTCTGCTAAGAATAGTACGTCCTTAACTTATGACATTGATATGCCCACAAAATGCGATTAAAAAAATAATCTGTAAGCGTATAGAATTGTGGCCAAGTTTCTCTGTATATGTTAAACACAGAGATAAGGTGTAATAGTAATTCTATATTGATAGATATAACTGGATTTTCTTCAAGTATTAACAAAAAAAATTTTTTTTAATCTGAAAATACATAATTTTTATAATATAATAAATAATATTTTTAAATATTTAAAAAAAATTTTGAAAATAATCAGAATTGTCGATTTATATATTTGATTGTGTTCATATATATTATCTTAAAAGTCAAATTTTTACATGTTATATGAAAAATATTCAAATACTAATGAGGAAAGAATCCATATGCTGTGATGAAATGGAGACATAAAGAATCCTGTTTTGTGTCATTAATTAATATTATGTAATTTTACAAAATTCTAATATTTTAAGCGTTGTTTAAATGTATATATACCTATTGTTACTGTTGGCATCAAACGCATAATAAAATTTTGTCATATAATGCATTTCCTTGAACTTCTTAAGATTATAAACACAATTGATTATTATACAAAGATGTAAGTTATTGCAAATATTGAAGATTTCTTAGGGGCCATGTAATATTCATTAAAATGAGTAAAAAATGTTTAATGTGGATTTTAAAAACTGATTTTGTCACAAAATTAAAAATTATTTCCACAGTTTAATACTTACCACATGTCCTCTAAGTTCTAAATCCTTTTTCGAATAATTAATTTATCTGCATTTTTTGCATCTGATTTCTAAGACAATATGATTTTGTTCTAATGTCTTTCTAATTGTACATTTTGAACGCCCAACATATCAACATAGAGCGACATCATTCCTAAAATAAATCTGGTAAGCAAAGTTTCTCATTTTTTACTGTAATACATTTGTGAGTATCGCATATTTTTTAAGTGTTTTGTAGAGTGCGATCACAACTTTTAATTAGCATGTGATAGGCGAACTCGCATCGTTACAGTAAATAGTGATAAACTTTGCTGGAACAAGTTTGCGATGATCAATCGTATATTTTATTTCAGCCTATGCAGCCAACAATCTCAATGACACCATCAACGGGTAAACAGTTTGATCCATTGGAAGAATTAAAAGCGCTTGAGACACCACGATCGACTGCCAAATCTGCGGCGGACACGAAGAAAACAACCGAAAAAACGGCTGAGAAGAAACCTTCCAACAGTGGTGGCTCCTGGTGGCTCTTTCGTAGTTTGTTCAATAAACTTGCACCCAAGCCGAAAAATCAAATGATATTGCCGGACGATAGCAAGCTAACGGTAAGAATTTACCATTGCTTTGTATTTTCCTCTAGCTCATTAAAAAATTACGACGAACGGTTTTATGTTTTATGTCGTTAAGGGCTTGCGCGGATACTTTTGGTAATAGAATGCTACTTTATGGTTATAAGATGGACGATAAACAGGCCAGTATAATGCCAGGGTTTATTAAATAACTGTTAGCTAACTATCGACTAACAAGTTGCTATTAATACTCGTCTAATTTGTTAGGTAGATTTTTCCTAACATACGAACGCCAAACAGCGGAGAAAAAATTGTTAGAGGAATTGTGTAATTAACTCTGTCGTCTTTTGTATTACAGATTGTATGGGATCCAAGCACTAATAAGTGGATAAACAAGGATGAGGATGACGATAGTAGTACCGCGACATTGGCCCCACCGCCGAAAACAGCCGACATGAGTTTTCGAGCACCTGCAGTGGAACGTGTTCCACAGCCATCTTTACCGAGTGCACACAACGAGGATACACCAGCGGCGGATATTTCAAAATTGCGTACTGATAACAATATGTTCAAACTGCCAAAGGGTAGAAGTATGCGTGCTAACTACGTAGACGTATTGAATACCGGCGGAAAATCTAAAGGTAACGCGGTGTCGTCTAATGTGGCCACCCCCCCCATGACGTCTCTACTCGTACCTACAGCTACCTCATCCCCGCAGATGCTTGTACCCGCGCCAAGTAAGTCATCCAATTTCTAAACTTTAATTCTCTTCGATTTTATTCATGCGAATTTGAGTCTCTCAGCTAGTTTTTCTCTGCATTTGAAAGTATAATATAATTTAGAGACAGCGAAAAATTGAATGAATAAAATACTTGAGAATTGAGAAACATAACATGAGAGTTGAAACGTTGAAAAACAATTTGTCCGAAAGTGATGTTGCCTTTATTATGATAGTTAATGATCCAACCGCTCCTGTGGATTTCCTGATTCCGACAGCAACACCGCCGTCTGGAAACATCGCGGAAAATACTCCAGTAAGTGCCACGTAGTACATACTTGTGTGGTTTTACGAATATTGAATATACGTATATATACGTATTATCTACTATATATTTATAATGCAACTCCTCACACATCTGTGTGTCTCCTCTTATTAAATCTTACACTACACAATACATTTGTTGCCCCTTGCGTCGTGGCTGCAGTTTTCTGGTATGCAGCTTAGCCTTTGTTTCAGCGTGTTTCTGAAACTATAACGTCAACACAATGAATTTTTTCTGTACGTTTCCTACATAATCATTGTGATGAACAGTTTGTACACTCATTTCCCTAGTTTTGCAAATCGTGTACTTTTCTCAAAAGTATTTTTTCATGATATCTTTGAATTGATCGTATTTATTAATCTATATATACAGCAATTATATGTTTATTGGAGATCAATCAATAGAAGTTATTCACGAAATGTTTATGGACTAGATTGCTCCAGCACTATGCCAGTTTCCCCTACCCCTCCCCCCCTTATTTAAATGAAAGAAACAATCACTAAAACGATCAATGTTATTAATAGCATTAATTAAAATACACCTTTATTGCTTCCTACTTTTCATTTTAATGATACTCAATTAGATCTTTCCACTTTGCTACAGATTCTTTCTTTTATGTACCTGTGTTTAATCTTACCTTTCTTTTTGTGTTTCTTTATGCAAGCAGTCGGGGAAGCAGAATGATGTAGCCAAATAATAATTATTGCTCATAGTAAGGACAAACACATTCATTTTATTAATTTTTACATATCATTATTTGATGTTTTACGCACACGCTTTCTTCTTACCCACCGCTTCGTGGAAATGTACATATACCTATGTAGCTTTCTTGCATAAGAAAAGGAATGCTGTATTGCATTTCATAGTTAAAGGTTGTTAACATCTTATGTAGCCACCAATGAATTTAATATCGCTTTGCATGTTTATATTATTAACATTATTGAGCAATAGAGTGAGCATAATCACATCTTCCTTCTGATTATGAATGATTTTGTATAATGCAAAACATCCTCTGTAAAATATCTCTGTAAAAAAAATCCAATTGTCTGTATACTCACACTGTGATCGAGGCATGAAAGTGTTCTTTTCTACTTTTTGCTGAAACGTTACGCTGTAATACACGAGAACATAAATATCGTAATACCGATTTTCACGTTGTAATGTGAGAGAGCCTTACGCATTGTTAAACAAGTTCGTTGAAACGCTATTTTTTAGCTATGTCTGCGAGCATAAGTGCAACGTGTAATCGTGCATAAATTGGTATTACACTCGTAAACATATAAGATAAGACTAGCTAATCACAAGTGACGTGGCGAATATCTGTTAGTGAGACAACGTTATTGTATTGTGTATGGTATATAGCTCTCTCGCTGGAGCTCGACCAGCTCGTTATCACGAGAGGTGCAGAGCTACACAATGAGGGATCCGCGGCTCCTTCAACGGAACAAGGTAATCCAATGGCATTAACTTCTCCCGCATTTCCAAGGTGACCACTTTCCAAAATATTATTACGAAACATATTATGGTACGGGGAATTATGCTAGTACGATTTTTTGTCTTCTAATCAGTTTGTTCATGTGCCAAGCAGGATTCTTATCATGACTTAACGCTACTTACTAAAACTAGCTTACGCTTATCAATCATTATCAATCGCTACTTTCATGAGATCTTTAATCATAGAATCGTGGGAAAATTTGGTAAAGGATTTTAGATGCAGGTTTCGTAAAATAACTTTACACGTCAGTTACTTTTATTTTTGCTATTTGTTGAGAGAGAGATATATATGTATATATATATATATAACTGTTCCAGTTTATGTCTTATCTTCTTGCGCACTGTAAATTACAAATGCGCGGTCACATATTTTTAACGAAGGATAAGGGTTTAAAAAATGTATGTTCCCTTACTGCTTACATACAAACTATAAATTAATACGAATAATTCTAAAATAAAAAATTACGCAAGCTCGAAAATCGGAGGACTTACTTTATCTCTAGTACGTTATTACATAAAACTATTAACTTTTTACTAATTTTATGTACTTTAAATCAAGGATATTTTCTAGGGACCAATGATGTTCAACCCGAGTGACATGAAGGATCGTTCGGTGAAGAACATGCCACCTAGCAGATATCATCCACGATAATTTTTTGCAACCGCTCATGAGAATAATTTGTTATTTAAATTAGGAAGTTTCTTATATAATTGCAGTTGTATTTAATGTGAATATCTGTTCTTGTACAGAAAAAACGTGACAACAATAGTATATTTTTAGAGTAATGTACGATGCATACAATCTCTTTCGAAAGGATATGTACAACGTAAGAATCTAGAAAATACTGTCTTTTTAGGCATTTCACATATTTGAATTGTCTAGATTAATTTTTACATTTGAAATTCTGTTCGAGTTTGTTATATTTATCATATCGAATTAAATATTACGTTAAAATTTATTTAGAACAAGATTTCCACGCGGAATATAGGAAATATAGAAAATATAGGAGACAATTTAACGATTGCAATGGTGGCGTAGATAAATTGTACCCGAGCACGTATGATGATTTGTAAACTAAAAGTTTTCATTGTACACTTTTCAATTGAAAGAATATGCTCCTTTCAGATCAATTCTCACGGAATGTTATTTCGTGTGCAGTGTGTGTAATGAATTTATTTAAAAGTTACGCACCGATTTCCGTTTTTATTAAATACGTATTTCCATCGGATGATTACTTATGCATTTGCTAATAGTTAATCATCGTTTTGGAAGTGTGCGAGTGCATTCCCGTTACTATGTTCGTTTAGTTTGTAAGTAAATTGTCACCGGTACCGGATTCGATGTTACGCGAAGATTCAAGTCCTGCGAGCTCGAATTATGTGAGTGAGATGTAAAGTTAATATTTTTACGTGCAACATGTAATCGAAGATCTATCTAAGTTACAATTATAAATAATCTCTCGCTTCGAAGTGTCTTGTAAATGTGTGACGATAGAGAGAGGATTGTACGCTGATTATATAGTTTAACTATATCGCAGAACTTGTTACAACACGGCCTCAGTATGTGCTGTAATTCTAAGTCTGATTTTATATGTACGGAGAAGAGAGTATTGTAGTGCCGATAAATACGAGATATTAGGGATATGAGAATTTTATCGAGCGTAAGAGGGGAAATAGCACATTAAGTGTATGATAGGAATACTGTTGTTAGACGCTGGGTTTATAATATTACGAGATAACATTGATACACCAATAAATACGCAACTGCCATCAACGTACGGATAGTATGAAATGAGTAACGAGTTTGTATCGCGTTTCCACTGGTTCAATCGCGTTAGATTTGTAAGATAACGTTGGTGTCTATCTCCGCGAAGAATTTGATAGTTGCAAGTATTGATAAGGGATAGTAAAGGATCCTAGCAAAGAATAGGCAGACGGTTTTGGTGTACGTTGAAATGTCTCTATCGGAAAATAAATGTCCTGGGAGATATATATTTTTCGGTAAAGAGTGAGTACCTTTGCAAGTAAAGGCTTTTTACTTGGCTCAATCTATCGTCGCCTTGCGCATCGTCCTATATGGATACTGTTGATTGTTCAATTTTAGAATCTTTCGTTGAAAATATTATCGATTATAACGGTTCGTCTCGATTTTTCTCGCTGATAAACGCCCCGTAATATTGTCAAGTACGATTGAGAAACTCTCCATAGAGTACTTCGAAACGGTAGCAAATTTCTGGCGCATAGATATCCATTGACCACAAATAGAAGGGATTGGTTCTAGGGATAATTTTTGTAAATTGTGACACTCGTAATACATTTTATATCTGTGACATACGAATTAGGTATATCTTAGATGCATATATTATAATATATTATAATATTATAATATATATGTTACAACACACATGTTGATACTGTTGCAGAGATGCCGCGTGTAAGTTTTATATATATATATGTATACGTGAACTCTAGATTTGTACATATTCTAAATGTAGCTTTCGTAAACTTGTCCTATCGCAATTGTTTATATATAGAGAATTCGCGCTTGTTTTTTAAATACCGAGACATATAGAAATGGATCCCGCGCTATACCTTCGCCGAAATGTAACCAGAGTTCTGTTTGTGGTGAATGGCAACTTATTGCGACCAACATCACTGTTAGTCATGCAGTTGATCGACGATAAACTTTCGTCGAGAAATCTATGCAGTCGTTACAGCTGAAATATGCATGTTTCTAATCCTTACACGCGATCGAGCTTAAGTTATTGAGAATTCGAGTGGCGATGCAGAATGTGCAATTGAACTGTCGTCTCTTTTTCTTATTATTTATCGTCATTCGCTCGCCTCGCAAAAAAAGCTCGAGAAATATTAGTGTAAAATGTGAATGCGATCGGCTCGCTCGAGATTGAGCTCACGGTGATATGTCGCAGCGAGCGAGAAGAGGATTTTAAGATTAGCGTTAAAGTTGAACAGAAGTATTAATCGAGCTGTAATTGTAATGTATGTATAGGCCGGTTTATGGAATGACGCGATTTCGTCTTTGATGTAACATAATTGCTATATACGTTCACGCACCCTGGAATTCCGAGTTGATGTACGTTTATGGAGGATAAAATTGCGGATTACAATGATAATAACAATAGTGATAATCTATACTGTATATTATTAATATTAGGATTCATTGTCATAATTATAACTATTGATATTATAATAAAGAATAATACAAATTAAAAGATATTACAGTGATTACTTAGCAACTATGGAACGGGAATGTGGGGGGGGGGAGGAATGAACAATCGAAGACGCCGTTGTATTTTTTTCGATCCTTTTATTAAGTTTATCATAATGCTTCGAATCGATACAATGATTTCTGTGGTATACTGTCGTCTTTCGGGCCACAACGTCGACGATCGTCTCTCCCGCGCACGGACGTATGTGCTCTGAGATCATCATACACGAAAAATGCGTATACGAAATCGGCGACCGGCGGACGCCGCGCGGTGTATTTCCGGTGTGTAATATGCGAAGTGAGTAGGCGCGCTCTCGCGTTGTCGAAACACGAAGAAATCAATCCAAAAATATCGTCGTCTCTGTGGGCGCGACACCGGGGATCATCGGGCAAATTGGTCGAGTCGGGCAGACGGTGGAGACGGGAAGGGGGGGGGGCGAAGGAGCGAATTACAGAGAGGGGGGTTGATACGGTTGCTCTTTAAGCGACGACAGTTAACGCCATGACACCGATGACACTTCGAGAGGCGAAAAAAAAGAAAAGAAAGAAAAAAAGGGGGGAAAAGACAGTTTAAATGCAGTTTAACAATCAGCGTTCTTATCAGCGTGCACGTCGAGCGTGTACGACCGGCCGTCTCTCGTTATTTTTACATCTGCCTCCTTTTTTTCCTCTCTCTCTCTCTCTCTCTCTCTCTCTCTCTCTCACTCTCACTCTCCGCTATCGCGTGTAGACGGAAGTCGGAGAGGGTGATGGGGGTGGCGGGCGAAGGAGAAACGGAGAGACCCGGGACATCGAGGGTGGAGAAGGATGAGGAGGATAAGGGGAGAGGAAGAGAAGAGCGCACGAAGGATATAAATATATAATAATATCTTATACCGCGCGTATTTTCGTAAAGTACGCTAAACGTTATTCCTTTCTCGTCAATCTCACTCGCGCGCACGCACACACACTCTCTCTCTCTCTCGTTCTCTCTAGCTCTCTCGCACGTCGCGTCGGTATTATCGATCTGTATTTCTTTTTTTCCTTTTCTTCGTTTTGTTATCGTTTCATTTATTAAATGTTAGAGTAGAGCCTATAAAGGGACACCCGGAGGCTCGCTCACAGCGAACCCCGGACGCGCTTTTTTTTTTTTCTCGTATACTAGCTGTGCCGGAACGCACTTGTACTGGTCGCACGATCGGCGAAGGATTCGGCTAAAGATACTGTGGCCGTCGAGACCGAAATCGTTATACGATGTTTTAAACGTTGTGCGTTTAAAAAAATAAATAGCGAATTCAGATACATCTCGAAAACGAGCGAGTCAAGATCGTGAGATTGGATCCAGATTGTACATGAATGAGCGCGAATAAACACAAGCGAATTCTAGTTCTACTTCAAGGGACACGTTAGGTCCTTTATCGTTAGGACAGAGCACAGATTCTTGCATAACGCATAAGGTACAAGAAAATCAACTCCAACTAGAGTCTCTTATTTCATGGAAAAGGAGATGAAGGACTTTGATTGGTTCGTTCTCTTATACATTATGCAAAACTGTCCTCTTGTTCTTAGGTTGAAGAAAAAAAAAAGATCGTTACGATCATCCGTTCTTGCTAGCCTGGATCATCTGGATCCGCACGATGAACATACGCGAGTTGCACAATAATCCGTTTTTTATCGCTAAAAGTTTAACGTTCACCCGGGTAGGGTTCGATTGAAATAAGGACGAAGGTGAATCAATAAAAGAATGAGAAGAGAACTACATTCGGCAGCCAATCTTTAGCCGAGCGATTCGCTCGCGACATATTATTTAACAACAGAGTTTAACCACCTAATCGCTCGGAGGATACTCGTAACTCCCCATTTTCGCCTCGGCTTTGTTTATACAATGAATAGGATATAAAGATCCTTTTTTTTCCTCGTTTTTACCTACATGCTAGGCAATAAATGATCCAACTGCAATTTATTACGATAATCAAATCGATGAACGATAAACGGAAAGAAAGAAGGCAAAAAAATTCCAAGGTGTGAATCGTTTGAAAAAAAAAAATGAAAAAACGTACATCTCTCTTCTCTGTCTCGAGTCGACGATAAACTTTAATAACCCATAGATACTTATTATCATCATAATGATACAATTACAGTTTGCGATTATCACAATGCGAGAACCGCCAATAATAGTAATAATAATAATAATATCAATGATAATAATAATGGCAATAATATAATTAAAAATAAACTAGTTAATAATAACTAATAATAATAATAATAATAATCTTCGCCATACTAATTACCATCGTCATTACAATGATTCATTTAGCCGTTATGGTTGCCTATATACTATCCTCTTTTATATATACTTCTATATATATAGCTACAATATATAATATTTTCGTGTTGAAAAATCGTATACATTAGTGTTGTGTCGCAGGACCATTGCTTCTATCTTTCTCTCTCTCTCTCGCTCTCTTTCTCTCTTTCTCGTTCATTCTCACCTTTATTTCTCTCAATGCGTCTGCTATGTATCATTCCGCGTTCCGCTATATATCTTTCTTTTGCTTTTGATGGATCGCAGATGAGAAGGGTAAGAAGGGGGGCAAAAACACTGTCGTCGATGGCTGGAAGCATTCGTGTCAATGTAAAGTCTCCAAATCGAGAGTTCGGAGAGAATTGCAGATTGCGGAATACTGCTCCGGAGCGGATCGCGCATACCCCCTTTTCTTTCTCGCGCAGGCCGTTTATAGGGCATTTCGCGCGCGCATCAACTTCGCGAATGCGGCTCATCGCTTCGTAAGAAGCTTAGAGATATTCGGCGCGGCACATTCTCTTCTGGCAAGATCGCGAGATGCACGACGTTTCTCGACGTCCGTCAAGGTAGAAATCCCGATTCCGAGGGGGGAGGCGACGAGTTCTCGAGTCTCGGTCGACATTAACGTAACGCGGAGAATTGAAAGAAACGAAGGAAAGGAGAAAACAACACGCGCACGAGTAGATCCTCGAATTGCTGATATCTCGCGGTACTTCTTTCCGTCGAGAGCCTATCCGTATCCGCGGGCGAGAAACGGCGTCCAAGGGGAGGGCGAATCAGATGAAAATCTTGGCCGATTTTAGGCGAGAACACGAGTGCCTCCAGACACGAGCGCGTTACGTAATCTTAATAGCTTAATATCGATTTTTAGTTCGTATTACTCGCCGTTCAAAGGCGAGCCTCGGATCACAGATAGTGAGGTGATCGGATTGCGCGAGCGTTATTCGCGATAACAACGCGGTCTCTCGTATTCGTATTCTTTTCCGCTTTTTTTTTCTCTCTTTTTCGCTCATTCTCGCACTCACACATACACACACGCAAATTCTCTCTTTCGCTATCTTTTTTTTTTTTTAAGTTTGTCAGTATGCGTTCTTCCTGCGTTTCTCCTAAGGATTTCAAGGCGACAGCTCCTGAAAGCAAACAGCATCCGGCATCGTGTACGCGCGCGAATTCACAGTGGCGTGAAAAAAGATCGTCCGAGAAGATTCGCAAGAGGGACCTATCTCTCCTCGTCGTCGGAAACGTTCTCGCAAACGATTCCGACTCGATGCAGACGTGTACATCCGCGGCAAAACGAACCGTTTCGTTTATCCAGGAAAGTATCCGGGGGTGTCCCGACTTGTCCTCAGGCAACTGTGCACACGCGCGCGCTCACGATCGTCTCGATCGAGGGATATCTTTCTCTCTTTTTTTTTTCTTTTTTTCATTCGAAACGCAATCCTCGTGTGTCCTCTGCTCGGTTCGTTACAAGAGATCTCTTTTCCCGCCGCACGCGGAGTGGCGTGCGAGGTATACAGATATACGAAAGTATAGAATGTATATATAATATATATATTTTTTATACACATGTATATATATACGTATACACAATACATATGTACCTACGTACGTACGGCCAACTAAGGGTAGACAGGCGCAATCACGTGTCGAGTCGAATCCGATTGATCGGCCGCGTTTAGGATTTTTGTCCGTCGACGTCATAAAAACCGGACAATCGACTTCTCTCTCTTTTTTTAGAGGCCTTTTTCGCTGTCGATTTCGGATTCAACATTCTATATGTGTGAGTGTGCGTGTAGGTATGTGTGTGTTGTGTCGTGGGTGATAAAATCGATAAAGACGAAAGGATAATTGGAGAAACAAATTTAATGAGGTTTTCGTGCTCGGTAGCGCAATTACAAAAAAAAAATGAGGATGAAAGGGAAAATTTAAGCGATTCGTTCGCGGAAATACAGTCATGCACATCAATTTTCCAACGCAATCGCAATCCTTGGTCAACGCTCCCGTTGAAATCGAGACGCGAGCGATTAGAAATAGGCCAATAGGTTCGGAACTCCGAGCTACGTCGAAGTTTTTTACGGTGGAGACATATGTGTGTTTCAGGAACTTCGATTCTTGGGAACGTATCCCGAGAGCAAATTCTAAGAATCTCGGAACTTTTATATATTAGAGTCGTCCAACTGTTATTGATACAAATGTAAAATTAACACAAGTTTAAGAATCGACTCTTAGACCCGTTTCTACCAACATAGGTTAACTTTAATCTCGGTTCAACTTACTCTTCATCTTTTTCTAATTTCTAGAAGAAGAAAAAGATGAAGAGTTAGTTGAACCGAGATTAAAGTTAATCTACGTTGGTAGAAACGGGCCTTAGACCGGTATTCATAGTCGGTTCTTATATTTAAGTACAGTCTTAAGATGTCATAAGCCAATCGCAAAGCCATATTATCATCTTAATGGGCTTTCTACAATAAGCCGTAAGAAATTGACCAATCACAGTCGAATGTAAGAACAATCGACTATGATCGATCAATTTCTTACGGCTTAAGAAACTTAAAGCTTAGGAAATAGCCTATTATAGAAAACCTATTAGACATTAAATTATTCGAGTCGATTTTGAAATGAATGCCAATCTAAATCTACTTTTTTAACTTTTCGCGGATCCCTCGTGACTAAGGGTACGGTTGAAATCTCACTAAACACAAAGGCTTTGAAGCATTTCATTGACCAATTAGAAGAAAAAATTTTACTAATTGACCCAATCAAAGAATGCTTCAAAGTATTTATAGCATCACGTTGACTGAAACAGAAAGTTGATTTTTATTTCTTCAGCGAGTTCGAATCTCTCAGCGTACGCCACGTGCAAAGGATCGTGATTGCATTTTAAAGCTGAACTTAGAAAATAAGGGGTACGGGGTTCAGGCTGTGTACGAACGTAAAAAACATTCGCCAGCATTACATAAGAATAAGATTAACGTGTGAGGAACGAGTAACAAGACATTAACATAAGAGTCGTGTTCATATGTTGTGAGAAATGTTTACGCACAGCGTTTCCAAAAGAACTGCAGTCTCCAAACAGATCTTCACAAGCTTATTAAAAGAATCAATAAAATTTATTTAAAAAAATTTATTTAAAAAACTACAAAAAGTTAAAAGCACTCTCGGTGCCGATGATGTCATAATTATTTGACATCGTATAATAAAATAATCATGATGAATACTTTTGGTCTCAACAATAAAATCTTACAATTGGAGAGGCTTGGAAACGCCGCGTCCTTGTTAATGTTGTAGCAATTGTAAATGTATGTGATTGGTCTGTGTACGCTCTCTCCCTAGCTAGACGCGTGTACGTCGACCTATTGTCTTCAGAGAAACGAACTTCCGCCGTAAAGAGAGCACACTGACCTACGCCTTTGTCGCTCGCGTATTTTTTTCTTTCCGTTCACTTTGCTCGTCCGCTCTGCGCCTCGGAGCACAGGTCTCTCGCGAAAAATTGCTTGATAAGGCCAAGTCCGGATAACAAAGGATACGTGAACGGAGATGCGTTTAATTGTTTCACGACCGATGATTCTCTTCGATCCCGAGCACCGAGATACGCTCGCGTATACATTTGTTGATAACAAACAACAGCCAGACGACTTAATCGCTCCGTCATCTTCCGAGTTCCGAGCTTGCCACCTGCCTTCTGCGATGAGCTCGGACGGTCCACGCGTACTTCCGCACGTATCCTTCTTCCTTCTGATACAGAATCAAAACGAGAAGAGAGTTGCTCGAAGATTGAAAACGAACACTACTTATTAGGAACACCAGCAGAACGACCGTGTATCATATATTTCGTATACGTTTTCTTTCACCGTGTGCCATGTTGTGTCGTGTTGTGTCTTGTCGATGGGATTGCGTTGCTGTATGTGATGTTGGTTCTCGTTTATCGCTCGCTCGCTCGCTCGCTCGCTCGCTCCTCTTTGCACGCATTGCTCGTACAATCTCTCTCGCCTAACACGTCGCGCGTGTGTCCGCCTCGGAAGGAGGGAAGAAAGAAAACACGAATGTGAGTCTTTAGACACGCGGTCGCTTTTCGTTTTCCCGGTCGGAATCAGAGTCCGCTGAATCGTGGAGAGGCGGAAATTCGGGCACCGCCTCGCGCTGTTGCATCCATCCCGCCGCGCCTGGCCCCCCAGCCAATGCCTTGCCCTGCGTCATGTTTTTCGATTGTTTGTTTTTTGTTTTGCAATTGATTTTTAGCCCTCTGTCTTTATCCCCTGCAGGATGGCGACAAAATAGCGTGTCATTGGTCACTAAGCCTCGCCTCGATACCCGGTAAAAAAAAAGACTTGCTTCGCGCTTCGCTCTCTAAGGAGAACGTTCGGTTTACCCGCTCGGCGAGTATGCCGAACCTTCTTCAAGCTCGGCCACGTTGCATCGGCTATACGGAAACAGATATTTACCTCCTATATTTATTACGTAGCGAAAATTTTAAGTAGATCCGATACTCAATATTTATGCAGCTCGAACAGTCAGCGAAACTCGATATCTTGGAATTGTTTCGCGTTATCACTTGTCTCTCGTTACCCGTGTCTCGAAAGGATTCGGACACTTGTCTCAGTTTCGTCCACGAAACTTGTTAACTCGGATATCGGGAAATCCTTCCGAACTCGCCAATGCAACGAGCCAGCGTCTATTCTACTGTCTACGCGAAATTTTGAACTCTGCAAAACGAGCTACAATGACTTTGATTCCATTCACTCCCTCTGTCACGCTTTTTCTTTCCATCTTTCGATCTTCCGCTTATTCATTCAAATAACTCCAACCAATCATCTCTTTTTCTCTCTCATTTTCTCTTTCTCTCTCTTTCTCTCAGATCAGAACAAAGGCGCACACACGTACTACCTTGTAAAACCAATATACACGTGGGCCTCAGAAAATAGTATTATCGTAACTCGCGATGTTTTTTTAGATCCATTAAATTAACGTTGACAAACTAGGTTCCTAATCTTCCGTGACTTGCAAAAGCGTACTTTAAGATCGCGTCCAAAGACCGACAGTGACTTTTCGCTTCGGAGGCTCTCGTGTCTTGAAACTCTACATGCAGCCATGCATGTCACGAAAACTATCTGCCCTAGTATCTCTCCAACTATAAGATACACTCCAACGTTGCCTTGTTTTCCTTCTATCAGTCTATATATACATATTATACGTGTGAAAACTGTGTGTATGTGTATGTATGTGTAAAGAGCTGCCTAGTAAGTCTCTAAGAATTAAGTATCGAAAGCCGTGTAAAGAGCGACATATGAAACCGCGCGCAATGCGTAGGGTGCGTGTCTGCTGTCATATATTTATGTACAAACGGATATAGATTCGCGTATGATTCACGTCACTGGTCTTCCGATGTTGGTCTCTCAGACGCCGAAAAGAGGAGGAAGGCAACAGAAACGTCTTTCGCGCGAATAATTTCAAGGCCCTGTTTTCCGAATTCTCGCAACTGGAAGAATATCGGTGTTAAAAGTAGCGGTTCGCGCTCCTTATCACCCGTCCGAGACACCCGCCGCGATCGACTAACAATCGAAACTAAGACTTATCGCTTGCTGCCACCAAAACTTTTACTACCTATATAACAAACGGTCTATCTAACGTATCTCTACAACCTAAAAAAAAAAGGAAGAAAAAGAATAGTCCCAATATCAAAATCTTATTGCACACTTAACGAGATCTAATCCTAAGGGAAGAGCTCGAAGGCGAGACCGTCTTTCTGGAGGGTATAATAAACGCACGGACGAAAAATTCTCCGCTTTATCCGGTGCGTGTCGTCTCGATGCGTACGAAATTCGATATGGAACACCCGCGCGGAAAGATCCAAAAGCTCGGTCTGCTCGACTCGTCGTTGCGTTCTCCAATTCTTCCAATGTCGACGTATTCTTCAGGACGATAGACCAATACAAGAGAAGTTAATAAAAGAGATTATCATTCTCAAGCACGCACGTCGAATGAGATCTTTGATACTTGGTATCAGAATGGCCCGGATAGCCAAGTTTAAAAAAAATTTTATGAAATTTCTATTCTTCGCAACGTCGTTCGCAACGTTCAGTAAATTTCGCCGAGTCATCCAAAGGTTGTTGTCGACCGTTCTCTGGAGCTTGGACTTTGCACGAGCTTCAACTTTATCGCGTTCACATCTTTAACGTGCGTCGCGACGCACGCGGTCCTTCCCCCCGTGCACAGCTTAGTTCGAAAATAAATTCTATTTTTCGGGTCTACGGAGCGTGGGGATCTTCCTCTGCAGTAAACACGGAACAATCTCGTTGTCGCCGGAACGCCTCTGCGAAGCACAGGTTCGAAGTAAAAATTTCGAAACATCCCCGGAACACGTAGATACGCGGATCTGCCTGCGTACATATTGCACTATCGATGAGTTAGATCAGAGCGGAACTGGCACCTCGCGAGCCGGAGGATCTCTCCTAACGACATCTCCCCGAGCACTCTTCTCGTTCCTAGAATCTCTCGGGAAAATCCTCTATCTCTTCTACGACCTTCCTCTCTTTCTATTTAAAACTCGAGTTATAAGGAAAGAGATCAGGCGCTTGTTGCAATGGAAAACGATGTCCCGACCGGCCCTCATCATCTCTAACTCTTTTAGCTTCTATTTCTTTCTCTCGCTCGCACTTTCTTTTTCTCGTCATCTCTAACTCTTTTAATATTTCTTCTCCTTCTCTTTCTCTTTTGTCTCATGTCGAGAGGGGTTGCGGCTAAAGTTCCGTTTGAATTTTTCTACACGATTGCGAGCGTTTTTAGACCGGCCTGACGCATCACTGGAAACACAATAAAAAAAGCACGAGAGGCCGAGATCAGTGTACACGTATCAGTCCCGATTTTCACGTTCACGTCTTATAACTTTTCCCCAGCTGTGTGATTTCATTCTCTCCTCCTTTCTCTCCTCCATTCGCGTTCATCCTTCTATCTTTCTGTCTCTCGCACGATTCACACTTTCCCATCCTTTCTCTCCCTCTCTCTCGCTCTCGCTCTCTATCTTAGCTTCGACTGCGTGTCTTTTGCATGGCTGTCTGATCCGGGGTCTCTCTCTCACTCTCTGTCGCCTTCTAAGAATTTCGTTTCATCTGCATCAAGAAAAAAACGTCATTGAGTCGGATTGGAGTTTCTGATCTTTTTTTTTTTTAACGACCTCGCGTCGAATCGTAATTTAATATCCTGACAAGAATTTGTCCGATTGCGATCTTCTATTTCCAAAGTTAAATCCGATTTGTGCGGCTAGTTGAAAATTCCTCGTTTAGATTTGCATAACGTAATCTCTTCGCGAACGATAAGAGAAAAATGCACGTCGTCCGGGATCGTTTCCGAGTCGCGAACCGTTCGCACGATTTTGCAGCTTCCGAGACGGATCGTCAAGGTGATGGAGAGTAGAAGAGACGGCGCAGCAGACGACCGAATGGATCGCGACAGTAACGTAGGTAGCAGAGACCGTACCAGAACTGTGCTTGCGACAATGCGCCGTCTTTCTTCTCTAACTCAAAAAGTCATTCTCGATATTTTAGTAACGCACGTTGTGGCGATACGCGTGCAAAATAGCAAATGACGGTAATCCGAAAACGACTGGATTAGGAAGGAAAAGTATCCTCGTTTCCCTCCTTCGTTGGACGGTGCTTTCATTCGCGTTCCTCTCTTTGTTGCAACAAACACAGTTCCGCGCTCCTTACTGTTACTGTTACTTGTTAGATTCGAAATACCAACCAACAACTGATTAGAACGAGATTAAAAGAAGAGTGAAGGAGCGGGAGGGACGGCGAAGACAAAACGAGGCGGTGATAAAGATAGTTATGACGAAATATACAAGTGGATTACATTACTTGACCGGTGCAAAATGTTAGGAGTCAATCGGCCGGCGTGTGAGAGAGGCTCTTTGTGCTCGTGTAAGAGTGTACAAAGCGAATGCTCATTTGTTACGTATGCGATTACGGGAAAAGTAGTTAGTGCCAGCTGCAGCGTTGTCAAAGGGAGGGACTTTGTTGTTGTCGCAAACTTCGTTATTAGAGCCGATCATGTCGAACTTCGCTGTCAAAACTTAATGCAACGTCGAAGCTGAAAATACCTGGAGAGATCGATGTGACAAGAAATTGCAAATTCTATCTCATTAGAACAACGAAATGGATTAGAATCCAGGAACGGTGCACGTCCAGCTAAAAGCAAAGTTGATACGTGGGCTCGCTATCTCTGGTTTTACGAGTGAAATTAGAAATTTAACTTAAACAGACTGAAAGATAATACGATATTTTCTGATAAAAACGCGACACGTAATGAACGGTTAATCGAAAGAACCGTAATGTATAATATTGCTTTTATACTTCTTTTATACTTCTTAAGACGGATTAAGAATTTAGATCGGTTGAACTAAAAGATAGCGCTTTATTGAGCAAAAAAGAAGCGAGTTGATCGTGAAAATAGTTAAAAATAAAATTGATCCGTAAATTCGCTACGTGTTTTGTGTTTCTCCACGAACCGGTTTGAAGACGCATCGATCGAACGATAAAACTGATGGAACTTAACGCCAGCAAGAAGATACAGGAGAAGACGGGCTCTGTTTCGGATCGATAAAGAAGTGGAGAGCTATACAGAAGCCGGAAGTGACTGCCGGAACAGCACAGTTACGAGCATGCATTTTAGTCGCTTCATTTCAACCCTTGCGGCACCACGTGATCCCGCGCGATCGTAGAATTTCTAGGTGAACCGGATCAGCCACGAAATTAATTTCCTCCCGGGCTTTCCTAGGATGGCCTCGATCCCATTCGAGTTTGACGCGTTTTCCAAAATAGAGGATTTGTCCACAAACAAACAAAGGAAACACTGCGTAAACATATTATTACGATCTTCTCAACGATAACTTAATATTGATATCTTGTAAATCGAAAACATGCGAATTAAATAAGCTCCTCGACAAATAATTCATCGGACAAATGTAACGATTTTTTTTATCCCGCGATAGAATTGTAGTCGAAACGAAACATCGACAAGTGATCAGCGTATTGACATGTCAGATATTGGATCCATCGGCTTGAAATTCCTACAGGAATCCCCTGCCAGGCTTCCCGAATACTCCAGCTCACTGTGTTTACCCGCAAATTTAATTTAACGTCACTCCGTGTCACGCGACATCGTTGAAATTGTACGTCAGCGAGATTTACTACGTTCGAAGAACGAAGAGCCACGCTAGAGACGTTACAAGACGTATCCTCGTGCGAGCGCCGACATCAAAGCGGAAATTAGCATGTATGTGTCAATTTGTGAATTGCGAGACGAAGTATTCTTCTCTCTAGAATTCTTTAAATTTCTAAGGTTTTCAATGAAAATTTTACAAAAATGTTTACGTCGATTTAAACGGCACGACTGTGAGGGCAGTGCAATAAACTATGGAAGCAAATCCGGGCTATAAATAGTCTCAGCGAATTTACGAAGGTTAAAGAAGAATCTAATGAAGAAGGAGGAGAAAGAAGATAACGGACAATTTATGCGAAGGTCCTTAACGACATTCGATGAAAAAAGTAACGCGAAAAGTATTTATCAAAGATTGATAAAAGAAATCCCCGGAGGGGAAGACTGTCGAGTATGATCGAAGAAACCTCGCAAATTTTCCACCGTTCCAAATTCATTTCGTTGCGTTGCATAGCAGAGACGCCGGTTGACTCGTTAGGAGAGGCGGCGCGCATCCACTAGCTCCATTAATATGTGAGAGAGCCAGCCCTGCCTAAAAAGTGACTTAGCAACTCCAATGCATACTAAGCAAACCTGGCGCTATTGGCTGCTAGCTGTGTATGTACGTGTGTCTTACGTGTGTATGTGTGTGTGTTTGTACGCGCGTGTATCTGTGCAGATTCTACCCTAGCACCCCTACCCGATCCAACACACCCTTCGCACCGCGATTGTCGGCGCCCTCGAGCCCGTCTTTACAGGATCAGCAATAGCGTATCCGGCCTACAGTATATATATATATATTCCAGCAACACACACATTCAACCGCACGCATTCGCATGCACGCACATCCATATACAGGGGTAAAAGGAGTATGCATGTAAATTTGAGTTCTTGAGATCAATTAAATTTCGAGTACATGAATACTTGGTCAATCCCGGGAAATTATAACGGAATGAAACTCGTGTTCCATTTATACATCTGAAAAATCGCAGAAATCTGAAAAAAAAAGAAAAAAAAACAAAAAGGTTACGTTTAATTCAATCGTGTAATATGAAACCAAAACGACATTATGCGTAATGCTCTCTTTATGCATTCGGGTTGTTTTACAAGAGGGTCTGTTCCCTGTATATGGCATCGTAATCATCCTGAAGCTCAAGCAGACTCCTTCACCGCTACCCTTTCTTTTCTCTCTTACACACACACACACACACACACACACACACACACACACACACACACACACACACACACACACTCTCTCTCTCTCTCTCTCTCTCTCTGCTCCAATATCGTTCTTGTTCTCTCTCTTCGTTCTCTCCCTCTTTCTCTCTTGTAGTGAGTGTGAGTATGCGAAAGGTGATGCGCATGCATTCATCGAGATGCAATGCCGTGGCTTGGAACTGCAGGGAAGCAATTTGCGCGAAGGCAGCAGATTTCAGTAATAACTTCATATGCTCGCATGATTTATGCGAAAAAAAGAGAGATGAACATCTAAATAATAGGATATGCGATAATAACGGTACATTGAGGAAATCAAATTAATTAGGAGCTATAATTTTAAGGAGTATTAAATAAAATAAAAAGAAACATATATTAAATACAAAATTTTATTTTTTTTGTGATTTTTAAATATAAAAATTTCAGTGTACAAAAAATATATACAAAATGATAAAAAGACTTCAGAAATTCAATTTTAATTTTGAAATATCATGGTCCAAACTTTAAAATTATCACATCGAAATATTAAAAAATATTAAATACAAATTTCTCTCAAAAAGATGAAATAATTACATGCAATAATTTATTCACTAAATAAATTTTTGATGAAATTTTTCGTCTCACAAGGAAATACAAAGAAATTTTAATGAGTCTTAGATACGTTAAAATATAAACAAAAATAAGAGAATTTTAATGAGTCTTAGATACGTTAAAATATAAACAAAAATAAGAGAATTTTTTTAAAAATACTTTGCGGAAAAGATCGATTTTATCCTGAGTGAATATTATCTAAACCGTCAAGCAAAAGTCGAATAGTTTCAAAAGTACTTTATAATACTAATAAAATAATATCTTTTTTTCTTATTTTTCCTCATTTCTCAAAACTGCTCATTTTTAATAAAGATTTTTATTTATAAAAAATTTTATTTGTATATAAAAATTATTTCAAAAAATTTTGTTGATCATTATTATAAAATACTCTTGAAACCATTTTTTTTAACTTTTTTAAACATTTTTTATATCTGACGATTTAGATTTTTTTTCAAGAGAGTAACTCTCTTGTTGTTACATACCCATTCAATGGAAAAAAGCATTTAAAAAAATATATATTTCTCTTTTTTTGTTTATAGTTTAACATCCGAAACTTATTAAAATCGGAGGAAAACACTTGATTGTGATTTTTTATCAGTAACATGAGCAATATTTACTCAGGAAGAAAAAATATTAATTTTTTTCAAGAGAGAGTTGTTACATGCCCATTCAATGGAAAAAAAGCACTTATAAAAAAATATATATTTCTCTTTTTGTTTATAGTTTAACACTGAAAGTATATAAGTCCGAAACTTATTAAAATCGGAGGAAAACACTTGGTTGTGATTTTTTGTTAGTAACATGAGCAAATTCCTAAACTTAATCATATGAGCACAAGTTTTCGTCATAATAAAAGTCGATCAAAATATACGAAAATTCAATTAAATTATATTTCCTTTCTTCGCCTCCGGAGATTGATCACCATTAACGCTCTCGGCTATTCTTTCAGAGGTAGTGCGTTTCCGAGCCACAGCGTAATTCCACACAGTGTGCATAACATTCTAGGATAAGCTCATGCTTAGTAAATGTGAATGCGTATTCCAAAAAGCGAGCGACATTGACTACCAGAACCGGCTAATGAGGAAACACCGCGCAACAGTGAACGTTCTGAGAGACTACGTAAATTTTACCTGATGCATGGGGTCGTATCCCATGGAGCCGTCGTTGTACGGCTGCGAACCATAGTCGCTGCCGTTTATTCCCATGCTGTATCCGGCCATGTCCTGCGGTCCTCCGGGCGGCGCCGGCGACATCATCGGCGTCGGGGTGCCTTGGCTGGCACCGCCCATGCTGTACGGCGATGCTCCTGCAAAAGCTGCTGTAGAAACAATCGCAGTGCATACAAAATTCGAGGACGATTTTTTTAATTCTTTTTAAGCCACAGCGATTTTTTCTCTCGTGTCTCACGAGCTCATGCTCTTTTTTTGGCTCGTGAAAACGTAATGTTGCAGTCTAATTATTGCAAAGATATATTTAAAAGGAACGATATAAAAAGGCTAATTAAACTTATATAATTTATCATTGCTTTTGAATGTAAATGCGTTAGTAATTTCGATTCGTCTTTTTCCTCCAGAAATATCCGAGCCTTCTCATAATTTGCTTCAGATTTGTATGAACCGTACCCGGCGGCTTCTGCAGTAGAGTATTCCACGCTTGTAAAACCTTCGCGCCATTCGAGACAAGCGTTGTTTCGCAGAGTTGGGTCGTTAGAATTCCGTTTCTTTAATTACGAGAGAACCGCGGGTCGTTTCATCGCAAACGTGGGCGAGGAAAGACAAACGCAGAGAGTGCTGAAAGAAATGCGAGAAGCCCGGAATTTCCATCGTACCCCAGCGTCTCACCCATCCTCTCTCACCATCTGACTCGTGTTCTCCCCTTCTTTCCCAAGTATAATTGGTGAGTTAAAAATATCTCACGCGTCCGAAATAAAGTGAGATGCCTCGGTAGTTAAGCGAAGCGCGCGTAATTGCGACCAGGGTGAGATCCACGAATCCGTGGAATTTCGGAATGGGATCGGGAATTTTTCTTGCAATTTTTACGAGAACAAGGGAGAAGATCGCTTTCGAGGTTGGTGGTGAAAGACGAAAGTAGATAGTAAGCGAGGATGAAATGAGAAAGTAGTCTATCCCGAAAGACGAAACGAAAATTTCATAGCTCTATATGCGCTTCGCAATTTTTGAAAACAAGCAATTTTTAAAAAGGTTTAGTCACGGAGATGTGTTTCTTCTAAGTATTACGTGCTAAAGAAAACAAACGCTAGATGTATTCTTCGTCGGCGATTCATCAACGGTTGTAATAATGTCACTGCGGCGCCGAACAATAGGCAGTAACTCAGTCGCTTAATGATTTACAGTAATGAGACTTCCTCTATCTCGATTCTTGGCTTAACGTTTAAAAAAATATGAAAAAAATATGTACCGAGTTGTCCGTTAATTACTTCAATTTACAGGAGAACAATTTACATTCCTCGCTTTTAATTCGCTTTTCCTCGACGAAGTTCGACGATGTAACCAAAAGAGCAATAAGTCCGGGAGAGTATTGAGAGATAAAAATAATGCTAGCAACGTAAAAGATAGCACTTTAGAAAACGTTTTATAAATTGCCATTCATAAAATAAAATCGTTTCTGACTTTCGTTAATAACAAAATGTTGCTTTCCAATCATGGAGATATTCATACATGGACATTTTATCAATTTCGTAAATTACTATCACAAAATTTTCCTCATGCTTTAAGTAAAACAGTGAAGGGACACCCGCTCAGCCAAGAACCTACCAGCTGCTTTCTTGGCTGCGTACAGATTCGCTTCCTCCTGCGCCTTACCGATGTTCTTCTTATAGCGTATCCTCTTATTTCCGAACCAATTGGACACCTGATAGCAAACAAAACAAAGATACGCGCTCATTTCAATTTGCTAAAAGATTCTCACGTCTAATATACCTAATTTTTTTTTCATCGAAATATTTTACTCAGCGTAATATCTTTTTTAAAGAAGCTTAAAAATTTTTTTAAATTAATTTAAAAATTAAAAGCCATGGGATGACATCGAATATTATAAGTTACAAAAGTTAATCGTTTAATATGTATAAGAAAAAATAATTGACGATACCTGACTCACGGTAATTCCACATTTCCGTGCGAGCTCTTCCTTGGCCTCTTCGCTTGGGTAGGGATTACTAAGGTGAGAATAAAAGTATTCGTTCAGAATTTCGGACGCCTGTTTGCTGAAATTTCTTCTTTTACGTCTGCAACAAAAATCAATTCGTATCATGTTAATTGCAGCAAATATTTTCCGAATTTGGATAAACAAAGGGCACAAAAATGATTATGATGATAAATTGAATGCATTTTATATATATCATCTATTATTTGTGTTATTGTTTCAACACGAACCTGGCATCCAAAAATCGACTCCTTAGAATCATCACAGCTTCGCAAGTGGACTGTTTCAGCTGCATCTGAATACTGGAGAACTTCTTGTGGATAATCTGGACCATCCTTTCAATTTCTTTAGGCGTGATCGGCCTAGTACGACTCTGTTCCCTCAACAGGTTCATTACGTGAGTAGTGAATTCGTTACAGGCCTGAAACAAATAAAGACAAAGCGTTGGGTTTTACCAACCATTAATCATTCAACAGGAAACGCGTCGAATCTAATGTAAGACATTCATTGCGAGATAAACTGTTAATTAAAAATGGAAAACTGTTTCAGGACAAATTTGAGTACATTTCGAGCTCGTCGACATGATGAAAGGCGGAGAACCGAGACTAGCAAGACACGAAGGAAAGTACTATGATCAGAGTATGAGAGGAAAAGTCGAGCGACGGAGCGAGAGAGGTAGTGAGAGAGGAAGGACGCGTACGTATAATGCATTATTCCTGGTGGCTGCTCGGTTTAAGGGAAAAAGGACTTTGCTCGATATCAGTATTCGAGGCGAGCACGCTGTCTCCCGAAAGGGAGCGAGCCAGAGAGATAGAGAGCGAGACGGGCGGTGTGAGTCGAGCAGGGGGAGTGGCTTTTCCTGAGGGAAGGAGCCAGGAAAAGGCCGCGGGAGGGTGTCAGGATACGAGGAGGGTGGGCGGTGGAGAAAGGGGATCGAACAGGGTGGCTTGCAATTTCGAAATGGATTCCATTCCGCCGACGAACTCTCCTCTCTCTTTTCTCCTCCCTCGATCCACTATGCGGCTTCTCTTCCTCTTCGTTCCTTTCTTCGCGCGGGACTCAACTGGGGTGGATCAACCCCGTTCCCGTCTTCCCGGCTGTTGCACGTGACGGAGAAAGAGGGAGAGAGAGGGACAGAAAGAGGGAGAAGGTGCAAAGAACGAAAGGAACGCTGCTGAATTGGATGGAAAAGCCAGTCACATTTCTCCGGACTGATTTCCTTTAATTTCTAAAACGCTCTAAGTCTCGGAGTAAATGATACTATCATCTGATAAGTTCTTATGCTACTGAAAATCGACAATATTAAACTGCATTTGCAATCCTATGTCAAGACGGATTTGACATAATGTGTTGCGGTAATTTATTGCATAATTCTTAAAGCATACAAGATTTTATACACAATTATAATCGGCAAACTAATTTTTGGGATTTTCATAAATTCTTCCAAGAATAGTAATAAAAATTCTTTGATTCATGTAAGATCAACCGATTATAAATGGCAAACTATATTTTTTGGGACCATAAATTCTTTCAAATAATACAAATTCTTTGATTTAATTGGATCAGCTGAGTAGATGAAACTATTAAGGATAAAATATTTGATTTTCATTCATTTACAAGAATTGATAGGAAAGGATTAATCTATTCTTGTTTTCGATTATTTCAAGGATTATATTTCTGAGACTGTCGACATCCGTATATTTCCGGGACACTCCGAATGACATTTCGAATTTTTCACCTTCGAAGATGACGTTGGTTTAATCTGGACACTTGGGATAGGACTGAATTGCAAAATAGCTAGGATCTATGCCACTCTCCACGATACAAATCAGCCGCAAGCATAAATTCGATTATGCAACCATCGGGAACTCTCTCCGGGTTGTTTCCCCAACCGCGGGAATAACCGCGACGAGAGAGCGAGAGAGAAAGAGAGGGAGAGAGAGAGCAGGCGCCAGTATATTTAGCAATGCACACGTCGGAATTTCCATAACGTTGGCGAAGCCAGGCATGCTGGCCTCCGTTATATATTCTCGCAATACGCGTACGCGTCTGTATTAATAGAGCGTGTCGCAGTAAAATTAGAGCGCCGTGAGAAAATTCGCGTCGCCAAGAGGCACTGAACGCTTTCGTTGAGACACTACCGTTTCTTTCATTCCTCGTAATAAATAACATGACTGTTTAATTAGTTTATTTAAAGGATCATAAAGATGTCGTGCTTTACTCAAGTTATTTCGAGAACCCGTTTCGTTCAATAAAATATTATTTCACATTGGGACCATCTTTTTTTTCTCAAATTATGGCAATAGTTCAGAAGATATTTACGTAAGATATTTACATTCTGCTATCATACTTATAATGCGATTTACGGTGGCTCATACCAGTCGAACAGATATACAGCCGCACGGGCAGTAAAACAAAATATTTATGCGCGCGTAAAAAGCGCCTCCCCCTCCCGCAAACGGAAGATGCATTCTGCATTGCTTTTTCCGAGATACAATACAGGGATAGTCCGAGGTGCGCGCGGTCGGAATCAGAGTTGGGAATCGGATAAAATAAAGGCGGGCATGCACCGACGAAATTCATGGTAGAAACGATGTTTGCTGGCGGTGATCACGCGATCTCGTAAAACCCGATGCGGTTCTATTCTCGTGCTTGTCACGCCATGTTGCATAGTCAGGCAGACATTCACCCTAATGCAGCAGAGTCGACCGAATTTGAATAGTAAATTTCGCTTATGGCCGAACTTTCTGTCCTGACAACGTTGTCCCGCTAACTAAACCAATTACTGAACTTTTCAGATCCGACGAAATATTTATATCGTACGTTTTAGCAAATTTTCCTCTGGATATACCGTGCAATTGAGTTCTTTTCTTCTCGGGAGGGAGCTTAACAAACTATCGTTACACTCGTTGTTCTTTCACGTATAATTTCAGCTACAAATGGCAATTTCGTGGAAGTCCATTCGAAATTAAGAAAGAGAATTCGAAGGAAAAGTGGGAGAAGATTTAAAACTCGTTAACGGCCCCGTTTATCGGCGGACCACCCCTCGGCACGCACGAGTTGCATCGCAAAGTGCACGCGAATGCATATGTTTTCGACGTGCATATTGTTGCGGCTACAAAGAGCCACGCACGCATTACAGGGGCGGATCCAGGGCGTATCCCAGAAAACGGTCACGAATCATCGTTTACGATTTCCACCGACGGCAGCGCGAATTGCTACTTTCCAAGAATTGTAATCTTCAATTTCCGCATCGACGGCTCGCCGCGCCGCGTCGCGCCGGCCGGTCACGCGGGATCGCACGCGGGATAAACGCGCTTCCAGCTTTAAATCGCGAAGTAAGGTAATAACGCGTTAATGGCTCTTCCAACTTTCTAAAATAAAAGGACGCGACGTTATTGGCGAAGCGTGACGTTAAAATCATTTTGCGCGAAAATACAGTATGCCCTTTTAATCCGACCCTGATGAATGCGCCGGTGGACCTCCGGGGCTGTGCGTGTTTACCGCGGGGAAACATCAAGCCCGCTGACACACGGTGAAATATGGGGTCGAAGCGGGTGTGGCAATTAAAGCACACGGCCCCGCACACGTGCGCGCGTGGGTGTGCATGCACACGGCTGTACATCCGCAGGGAGCGAAGGTACGGCGACCGGCGAGGAAAAACTGCCGGCGAAAACGCGAGCGGCGTTAAAAAGAGTTATGCGCCTGGGGCCGATGAGCGGGCCCTATTTACGGTAAAAATGGCCGATTACGCGCGACGTCATGCGAATGTAAGGGCTTTTACGCGCGTATGTCAAGCGGAATGACCGGTAATCTGTCCCGCCGGTGAAAAAGAGATGTGAACACGACCGGTGATGAGTACGCGATTTTGTAATCGCCGCGACTTTGCCTCGCGACGGCACGATAATCGCGCAGATAGGTATCTCTAAATCGTGGTGAATTATTTTTGAAATAAATTAATTAAAAGTAAAATTATGTGCAAGAGTCAGCGTAATTCGGAGTATCATTTGAGAAAATTTCCCACGTAATAATTTCGTGAAACGTTTGAAAGCGCTTTGACCATTTAACTCGTATCAGATTATTATATTAATTAGTCACGTGCGTTTGAGAGCTTTGATCATTTAATTAATATTTATTCGAGTTAATCGACCGAGGAACTTTTTACTTTTACTTCACCAAATTCACAAGGGTCTTATCCAGCGTCAAAATTGTTCTGTCGCGTCGAATTATCGCGGCGCGCCACGTCGCGTCGCGACCGGGTCATGGCAGCGATTTGAAGAGGAAGCGACCGAGGGGGAAATTCTTAATGAAACTGCTTGCGATAACATCGTCGAATTTCCGTCGGAGCGCGGCAATATCTCGACGTAGTGATTTGCGTCCTCTTGAAAGAACCCGTGTATCACGCGACATACAGGCAGAGTCCGGCACGCGAGATTTTACTTAGCGCGAGCCGCTTCATTAACACGCGAGTCGCCCTGTCCGAGACCAGCTCGACGGCAGTCGTTTCTCTTGAAACGTACATAACATTCTGCGTCTTATCAGTCCCCCTTTCGAGCTAGTCGTCATTAAACGTTCGTATAGAAAAAAAGTACACGCGTTTCTGTCATAATCGAGAATCATTAAGAGGATGCTGACGTGACGGCCAGACTCCGACGGAATCGTGTCAAAAAAGATACATTAGCGCGTGTATTTTACTCGTGGAAAAGGAATTTTAAGTCTATGAAACTAATACGAATTGGTATGGAACAAAAATGGTATTTTTGTTAGTAAAACAGACGACACCAGTAGACCTATTCTGTAACTTTTAACGATAGTTCGGTATCGTTAAGCTGGAAACACAATGGGCACAGGCAATAGGCACAGGCAAACAGGGAATAACGAGCCGTCCAATCAGAGCTCTGGGATATAATATCGAACTTATACCCCAGAGCTCTGATTGGACGGCTCGTTATTCCCTGTTGCATGTGCCTATGTCCTATTGCCTGTGTCTATTGTGTTTCCAGCTTTATACTGTCGTTGCGCAGCTTTTTCACCATGTAAAATATCTGTGTAACGACATCCCTAGCTAATAAAATTGTCGTTAAAAAGTTACAGAATAGGCCTACAGGCTCCTTAATATCTGTTTAAATCTATGTGTATACAGGATGTTCCAAGAGAAAAGGTCAATATTCTGAGAAATAACCCTTTATTTTAAGTAAAAATACGTGTTTACGAACACGTGTCGTATTCTTTTGAGGCTTTCACGGGTATTTTCTTCAGAGGTGCCAAAGGGTTTGCGGGTTATTGCCGTGTCGTGATCCATTGCTAATGCCATTATAGCATTAAGTAGCAATGGATCACGACACGGCGATAACCCGCAAACCCTTTGGCACGTATCTTATTCTGAACGGTTTTCGAGATTGAATTTGCAGTTGCAAAATTACTATTAAGAAAGAGATTCTACGTACATTTTTTAATAATCCATTGTTCAAGTGATACGTTTTTAAAGTTTATAATAAATTTAAAAAACTGATGAATGGCACTCAATTAGCAAGATAATTGTCATGCTCTAAATTTTCACATTAAGGTAAAGAAAACCTATTAGATTCAAACTTTCATAATTTATTTCTAAATTGTACTCATACAAGCGAAAAAAATATTAATATGATTTTACTTTTGTAATTAGACCAGTAATGTATATGTAATATAAAGGCACATGAAGAACAAGAAAATACTAGCAAGACTCTTTTATATATCTAACTAGCGCAAATACTAACGAATAAGCTCCAACTTTTAATTTTGTAACACATTGTGTTTTAATTTCATTAATTAACTAAATTCTGTGTCTGTACTGAAGATGGCTTAATCTAGGCCGAAACGTATGTTTCTATACATATGTATATTAAATTATAAAGTTATTCGCCACTGAAATTGTGCGACTGTGATTCAATGCCCTTTCATTATTATTATTTTTAATTTTCAAAAATCCGACCGTTCAAACTATCTCGGAAACCGTTCAGAATAAGACACGCGCGTTCGTATCAACATTTCTACTTAAAATGATTGATATACCGTCATCTCCTAGAATATTAATCTTTCCTCCTGGGACACCCTGTATATGTATGACACGCCGCAAGGGAATTGTTGACGCTTTCCTTTTGGTAGAAGATCGTGAAAGTACGTGCCGTGAAAATCGCTTGATTACAACGATCATCTCACTAGCGATTTAATAACGCGTTATTAATGAAGATCGCCGTCTAATACCCGTGGATTACGCGGAATTACAGTGTGAATTTTCGATCGGTCGTTTTATCGGGCGGACTCGTGACCGCCTGTGATCGTCGTTTGTATCATGGTGAGAATCCGCTCCAGCATATTACGCAACCTTAACGAGACCGCGAGATCGTCGGCGGACGATAAATTCGCGTCGACGTCGTTGAATTTCACGAGCGGAGAGATTATCGATGGTGGAATCGAGAGGGCTGATAGCGCACCGAGATGGCCGAAATTTGTCAGCCGCCGGATCTCGACGATAACCACGAGGTTACGCGTTTAAATTTTTCATTTTGCCGAGAGTTCTCTCCCGGCGAGAGTGAATAACGGCGCTCGTTTACGCGCCGCGAGTTCATTTCAACCTTTCAGTTCGCCTTTTTCGTTTCTCTCCTTTTTTTTTATTTCTCTTTCTTTTTTTCGCGCTCACAAAGTCGGACGACGATAAAACGACCGATGTAATTCCGCGACCCGAATTCAATACTCGATATGGCGCCGATAATGGGCCGCCGCCGCTCGCTCGCGGCGAATAATATTCATAAGCGGGATTTGCATAAAGCGAGCATGTTCGCTTGCTCTCTCTCTCTCTCTCTCTCTCTCTCTCTCTCTCTCTCTCTCTCTCTCTCTGGAATGAATAATTTTGGTGGGAGTGAGAGGGGATTTTGCGACGTCGCGCGCGCAAACGTAAAAATGTTTGACTGCGGCGCCGCGCGCTGCGAAAATCAATACGCGAGTTAAACTTAACCCGTTTGGCTTAATGGGTCGGTTGGCCATTTTGCGTTTACAGTACATTTATAAATTCATCAAGATTAAATTCGGCGAACCAAACGCGAGTGTCCATTACGCAATTTGCAGACGGAAATCCGGTATACACAGAAAGCGCACGGTGCCCTCTCGCTTTCTCTCTCGCAAAAAAGTTAAAGCCGAAATATATTTTAAATCACTCGATAATATTTTTTTCATACTTTCTTTATACGAACCTGCTCGTATTTTTCTAATTCTTGATGATAAATTTGCCTAATCTGAGCAAGTTTGGCCCTGTAGTCCGAATGCTCGATCGCGTTGTCCGGTTGTCCGGGTGGACCGGCCGCAGCTGCCGCTGATGCCGATGCAGCGGCCCCCGCACCACCGCCCTTCTCTGGTCCAGCGACTCCCTCGGCGATCAGCATGTTATCCAGCCTCATTAGCTGCGGGTCTGGCGGCTCCTCTTCTTGCGTATTTCTCAGTGACAAAACTGAAAACAGACGAAAGCGCCACGTTGAAATTATATTCATATACAATATATACATAGGGATGATATCTAATGTAATATTAGAAAAAAATAATTTTAAGTTTCTAAAGAATAAATTATTTTATGGGAATGTGACTTTTGAAATCACGTTTTTTGTATTTTACGCTCGTAACTTCTATACTCTGAATTATTTAGAACGATTAATTCGATTTAAAGGACCTCAAAGAGACAGAGGGGAATACATCTGTATATATTCACGTAAAAATAAAATGGGTTGCTTGCAAATCGATCTTAGTTCGGGGTCGCGCGTTTGTCGATCATAAAAGAATCAATTTTGCCTCTGGTCGTCTCCCCAAGCATCTCCGTCAGTCTTCTTCTCGTCTTAAGGGCCCGTTGCACGCAGTGGTTTAGAACGGGTAGTTCTCCATGGTGTAACAGCGGTTTTATTGTACTTTTATGGCGCATGATGGACCTGGACGACCCATAAAACCGCAGAGCGAGGGACATTCTATACTCTGCCTTTCGTACATTCCCCGGTTTTCCCACTATCCTCGCGCGAAACTCCCTGCCACTACGAAGATGTTAACCCTGTCGTCTTCGACAGTTAGCACCCTCACCCGAGGCAAATGCTGGCATGCAAGCGAAACAAGAACTCTCAGCTTCTTTGACGAAGCGTCAAGAGGAATCTCTTCGTTAGAGAAGACTGAACTCTGTACGTCATACAAGATATACTATGTTTACAGCAAGATTATATTTCAACCTAAAATCTTGACAAATTACGATATATATGTGATATAATAAAAAATATAAACTAATTGTATCTAAAGATGTAAAAACTTTGAAAAAATTTATCGATTATCTTTGAAAATATAACGATAGATTTTACGACAAAATTGTTTCATATTTATCATCAATTTTTTTTGCGAATATTTTAATATTATTTCTTACTTTTCTCCACAAAATTCCAACGATAATTTCAGGTTATTACTTTTCTTCGGTCTCGATGTGACTTTATGAATGAATTCGCATTTGCAATTGCCCAAGTCGCTACTTGAATTCGCTGAAAACTTTTCTCGTCCGCCACTTTTCGCCACAGCTCGCGAAAAAAGTCCCCGGAGACATGAAGAAAAGGGGAACGAACGAGACTTCTCGTGGACTCGCAGAGGCGTGAAACGAATGCACAGAGCTAATGCATTTATACGAAGTGTAACAATTATGCCAGTGGAAAAGAGGGGCTAGACTTCTGTTTCTTCGACAAGACTCTAGGGGGGATTCTATAGAGAAGACGTGTCGCTTTAAGTGACGGGGAAACATTTCTTCAAGCAAAAAATTGCAAGACTCGTAAATAGTGTAATTTCTGAATTTTTAGGAACCTATTTTGGATTTAATTATCTTCGCGACAATTTACAGAAAGTATTTTTTACAGAAGAATAAAATCAAATATTAATTTCGAAAAATAAGAACGAATCTGTTATTTCTGGATTGAGCAAACGCTAATTCATTATTTCTTCAGTGACGTTTCGAATGAATGATGTTGAAAATTGAATCGCGATGGAGAAAGATATGGTCAAATCAAACGATCGCTTCAAGAATGAAGTCAAATAAGTTTCGAAATCGTAGCACGTTCCACGGTACTTCCACGGGTGACTTAAGAAGGGGTTAACGACAGTCAACGCAGCCATTAAAACTTTCGTGCAGTGCCGGGAACTTTTCACGGCGCTGTGGGTAATTAAAAATGAAAAACCTCTGGACGGCGTCGCTCGCCGAGGGCGGTGGAATAAAACGCCGGTTTACGGCGATGCGGAAGAACTTGCACCATTGAAAGTTAAAAGGCCAAGCAATTTCGATCGCTGATACGAGCGCTCGTTTTAAGATAGAAATAAATGTTTATCCTCTTATCCATGAAAAAAGATTATATTATTTTTAATCCTTGTAATCGACATTTATTTTATAATTTATAACATAATTTGGAAAAAAGAAAGACTCTTGAGAAGAAGAAAGGAAGAAAGAGAAAATAAATCCCATAGCATATAATAATAATCATTCTTATACAATTATAACGAAAACCGTCTTAAAGTCACTAAATAGGCAAAGTAGCCGCGAAATTTAACTTTTCAGCTAAATTAGCGCCGGATAGTACATATTTTATGTAACTCTATGCTTTAAGTATTAATTAGCTTAACCTGACAAAGATTAAGATAATTGCATTCACTTTTGAATTTGAGTTAAATAGCGGACAAATTATGATGCTCTTTATCCATTTAGTAACTTTAGTGTCTTCTACAAAATTATTCTTCATTCAAGATCTTTTCCTTTCGTAATAAAAATTGAAAATCGAAAGGGTTAATAGAATTGTGAGTTGAATTGATGTCAAATATATACGCATACATGTATTACAATGTTTCGAAATTCAGACGACGACGGTACTTGGTCCCTTTACGTATCCAATAACAGAGAGTCTAAGAAAGCGTGCAAATTAAACGTTCTTTCGGAATTATTTTCGTGCTCATGCGGGAGACGGGCAGACGGCGGGGGTGGCTTACGAGCAATAATCTGGCTATTAGGGGGTGTAAGGGGCGACTCTGCGTGCTGCCAAGCTGAAGAGGGGCCAGGGATGGCAGCAGCCTCCTGCGGGGGTCCTTACAAGCGCGTAAACTCAGTTTTACTAGCAGTTAACATTTTACGACTCAGACGGTCTGCACAAGCCGTTTGCTCTTGCTCTCGTTGCTCCCCACGTCTCTGTCTTTCTGCTACATTTTCCTGCTATCCCTTTCCCCCTCTCTCCCTCTATCTACGATTGACACGTGTGCGACGCGCGGATCTGTATATGGGACACCCAGTATATAAACTCATACCTGCAACGTAACGCTCGCCATTCTCGAGGGTCGTTTGCGAATGAAGTACATTAATATTAGACACCTTATTGAAGAGAGGCCTATTTGCAGGCTAATTGCACGACTAATTCGTGCGCCGCGAAAACGTTTAAACGATTAAGAAAACCTGGAAAAATAACGCGTTAATGCTAACACTAATAACTTTGATTACGACGAGTAGCGAATCGCAGATATTCTTACATGTAAATTATTAAATTGCTTGTCAATTTAATATGTGATATTACTACTCTGATTTTATTCATGATTGCGTTTCAGCAAACCGCGCAAAAAAGATTTCAGTGCGCAATTTGCAGAATCAGATATGTATATAAATTCACACAGAAATATTTAAGCACAAAGATTTGCTTCGACAGAAAAATAGGATAATCTTTTATTCATTAATTAGATTTATTCTCATCGGAGACTATTTTAAATTGTAATTGTCTTATATGTAAAATCGGATCCAGATCGAGCGAGTGAACCGAGCAAGCGACCGAACAGACGAACGAATAACTCGCTTCAATGAATGCGAACGGCACCGTAGCAGTAACTCAGGCAACTTTAGGTATCACAAACGGATTATAATTTCATGGGTCAAAACCTCGGTTCGCCTTCGCGATCGCCCGCTTTTATAATAAATATCGAGCTTCTCGATCGCCTTTTAACATCCAACCTAGAATCGACCTCGTATTTCCTCCTTCACGTATCCCGCTACGTATCTGTACCCCCGTCTATCCTTTTCGCTATCCGCCGTCACTGCGTTGTTTTCCACCGCGAAAAGCGGGTAGCAGCCGACAACCCTTTGTTACCGTGCCTTATCTTAATTGCTTTCACGGGTTCCCGTTTAGATCAATACACACCGCCGACGTTCTGCCACCGGTCTTCTCTGTTGCTATGCTTCGCTCCACGAATCTAAATTATCCCGAGGGTTGTGTTTCGTCGCACGTGGATTCCTACCGCCTGTATTTTCTCTTTCTCTCTTTCTCTTGCATATTTTAAGAGCGCGGGTTGGTACCCCGCTGTAAGACTCGCCAGGATGGTCTGAGTTATCGCACACCCGGCGTCGTTCGCGAGATTAGGGCAGCTTTTCTCTACGACGTTGTCGCCATTTTAACGGCGGATGTGGAAACGAGGTGTGGAAGAACGTCAGAATACCGAAGATGTCACTAGAAGATGTGCATCGGTATGTACGTAAACGCGATAAAAGCGAGATAGCGAGAGCGTTAATTGTTAAAGTTAATAGTTTGTACATTAGAAAGATTCACAAAACTAGAAGTTAAAATTATTAAAATTATTTAGGATATATATAACTCTCTGGCAAATACGCTGCGTTGGGATTTACGCCGCAGAAGTCAGAAAAAATAGAAGGAGTGGGGATAATTTTCCCGCAACTACTCTGTTATATGCCTTTATGTTATATTAGTATTGTGTTATGATTTCAGCTTCTTACTGTTAATATTAATTGTGAAATTATTGTGAGTTGAATCGATTTGTCACTGCAATAAGTAGCGCCATCATAAGTTATAATCTACATAAAATGATTACTGTAGGGTGTGTAAAAGACTTAGTGGTTATTTCGTAATACATACGTGTAGAGGAATTAGTAAAGCATGTTTATAGCAAAATACAAGTACTTTGCTTTCATATTCTTTGTTTAGTTTGTTGTCTTGTATATCCCACCTGTTTGGGATATACGGCATTTTTAGCGGACGGGATTTATGTCCAAAGCATACAAAGTGCGCAGATTGAATTCAGTGCACTAAATACATTACATGAAATATGTACCTCATGTCATAATACTTGTAATATATGTAGGAAGATTATAATTGTTATTTATTACTTCATATACATATTTATCATTCTTATTCCTTAATAAAACTTTATAAACGCATTTTGTAAGTTATTGTGTCATTTTACGTCTTATTTATAAGGATTATTTGTAAATTTTTCATGAGCCGTACATATCCCCTTCTCCCTCTATGAGTAGCCATATATCTCACCCCCTATGGAATATACGGCAAAAATGTAAGGATTTCAAAAAGTTTATTTCTTAATACGAAAAATAAATATATATTTCGGATTTCTAATATTTTTTTTATAGTAGTAGACAGTACAAAGTTTTTACTGATA